CCAATGGATTGTTTTTTTTTTTAATTTCAATTGTTCTTATTGAACATTCATCATTTTCAAACGAGTAAGACTAATTGTTCGTTTTTATTCTCTCATCAATTAGGTAAAATGTATGCGGTGATTGGAAAACGAAATGGAAAAATTCTATCAGCTGATTTGATGCAAGGAAGTGGCACGTTTATTATAAAGGCCATTCTCCCTGTCATTGAATCCTATAATTTTTCACAGGAAATACGTAAACAGACATCTGGTCTTGCATATCCACAGCTCATGTTTAGCCATTGGGAAGTAAGTCTTTCAATAATTTATACATTATATTGTGCCAACTAATAATTATTTTCATTTTATCGACCATTTTCATTAATTACAAAAAAAAATATTATTCAAAAAAAATTGTATCACTTCCTCTCTTCAATACAGACCATCGATATTGATCCCTATTGGATACCATCAACGGAAGAGGAATATTTACATTTTGGCGAAAAATCCGATTCACAGAACCTGGCCAAACTTTACATGGACTCGGTGCGCAAACGAAAAGGACTATTTGTCGAAGAGCATGTCGTTGAAAATGCAGAAAAACAACGAACACTCTCAAAGAATAAATAACGCTGCTTTTCATTTTTAGTTTGAATTTTTTCGAGTTGTTGTGCAGATTTTATTTTAATATAAATTAAAAAAATAAACAAAAAAAAAATATTTTTCATTTTCTCCATTTATATAAAACTTACGAAATAAAAATGAACGACTTTAACTGTTGAAATTGAAAATGCCGCACTTTTTGTGTTGTACTTTAAATTCAAATTGACAGATGGTAAGTTGGCACACAGTTAAATACTTTGGGACAATTGTGACAATGATTACGTCAGTTGTCAGAGAAATATTGTAAACAAATTACGACTCTTGTGTGCTAAATGTTCTCTATTATAATTTTCAAAGAAAAATTTCACAATTTTATCGGTTTGAAAAAAACCCATTGGCAATTTCAAGTGGATTTGTAAGTATTCATAAAAACGACCATTATTCCTTATTGAAATAAAATGAAGATTGTTTGGGTTATGTCCATATTAAAATCATGTTAAATAATAAACGTAATATTCAAAGGAAAATTCATTTCCAGTCTGATTATGGAGAGCCAACTAAATCATAACATTTGCATTAAAGTGGAGAAATGTGATGGAATGGAAGACCCATTCAGCAATTTATCCATTCCAGCGGCAGCGTCAATGGTAAAAGAAGAAAAATGCGACTTCGGTGACAACGTAATTTATCAAAGTGTGCCATGGGAACAAAATAAGGTGTAATGATTATACCACTAAAAAAATACTATTACTAGATGATATTACTAGAGGAATTGCTATCCATTCTTTCGATTATTTTTTCATTCTGTTCCCTTACATGTTGATTAATTTCCATTATTTCAATTTTCCTTTTTCGATTCACTCTCAGGAACAAAATATCGTGAATTTTGTAAAACAGAACCATACTTTATTCGAGTACGATGAGAATACGATAATTAATACGGAAATTAAAATTGAAGAGCCAGTAATAGAAGGTAATTCACATAAAGTGAGTTCGCGCCAAAAACAAAAACAAAAACAAAAGAAAACAACATCCATACAAAAGAAGAAAACGGAGAAAGTATCGAACGCACCGAAACCGAAACCAAAACCAACGGCGAAAAGAAAAAATAAAACCCCTGTTCGTCCAGAAATAGAATATGTTCAATGCGTATACTGTTCTAAGCGGTTAAATTCACAATTTGCTTTGATTGCACATTTCCATCGTCGCCATTCAGAAGAACTTCAATTTCAATGTCGAATATGCACACTGCGATTCCATACTGCCAAACAAAAGCATAAACACGAGTCAAATTGTAAGATCCGTCGATATGAGTGCTATGTATGTGGTTTCAGTTTCGTTGAATGTTGTGCTAAATATTTTTCAATTTTACGAGTCTTGAAATCACATTTGAAAAAAAATCATCCATATAAAACATCAACGCATTGCTTTTTTTGTGAAAGAAAATTTAAAACAATTTTCAAGGCAAGAGAACACGAAAGGAATTGTTCGCGTCAAAATAATGTGGAATGTTATTTATGTAAAGTCACCTTTAAGTATACATGGAGTTTGAGACGTCACATGCAACAACATACACGCATGATATGACTACTTTCGATTTCGAATACCGGAAAAAAGAACGTTCGCAAGAACTTTCATTTAAAGACAAAACAATGGAACTATTTCCTGTACAGTGTGTGACTTTTTTGTAAATTCGTACTGATAAACACATGCAGAGTGATACAATGAAAAGAAAAGTATTTTAATGCATCCGGTTCAATCATATCTTATTCTCAAATATTTTTCGGAAATAGACATTAAATAAGGATTATATTTTCATTTTGTACAGAGTAAAAGTAAAAACGGTCTATCCGAAATAAATGGTTGAATGTAAGAAAATAAAATAAATATAATTTTTTTAAATAAAATTTAATAACAAGGTATTTTCAATCAATTTCATTCAATAGAAAAAAATTGTTTTTTTGAGAAAGTACTTTGGATCTATGGTAAGTTGACAGATAGATAGAATGCTTTGGGACAGATTGTGACAATGCCAAGCTCAAATTGGTTGTCAAAAAAATATTGTAAACAAATGGGAAATTTTGTGCATGCTCTTTTTTAACGAAAATATTAAAGTTAAATCGGTTTGCCTGGGTAAAATTATTTTAAGGTAAGTTATTTCGAATAGATTTAGTAAGTAAAGAATTAAACGAACAAATAGGTAATATTCTTTTTCTCGTTGAATTTAAGTTGAGCATATTTGGACCACGTGGAAAATAAAAACGCAATAGAGTTAATTCCAATGCAATAAATCATGGAAGATCTCGATATTTGCATTAAAGAGGAGAATTATGATGGATTCGAAGAGTCATTCAACGATTTATCGACTCCGTCAGTTGATGCAATGGTAAAAGAAGAAAAATATGACTATGCCGACTACGTAGTTTATCAAAGTGTGCCATGGGAACAAAATGAGGTATAATCACATAAAAAAATGACTTATTCCATTACAAAGGAAATTGCTATACATTCATTCGATTATATATTTCCATTTTTCTTTTCTGATTCACCCCCCAGGAGCAAAATGTAGTCAAAGAACATACTTTGTTTGAGTATGAAAAGGATTCGATAATCAATACAGAAATTAAAATAGAAGAGTCAGTGTTGGCAGACAACTCACAATTGGCTGAAGTAAATGTGTGTTTATCACAATCGCAAAATAAAACAAAACAAACAAAAAGATCGCGTAAAACCGCCGGCACCAAGACAAAATCGAAGAAAAACCAAGTCAATCCAAAAGCAAAATACATTCAATGTGAATACTGCTGTGAGAAGTTTATCACACAATTAAGTTTAATCACACATACACACCGTTGTCATTCAAAAGTGCTCAAATTTAAATGTCGAGTGTGTACAATGCGATTCATTGATGTGGAACAAACGAAGAACCATGAATCTGATTGTAAGATCCGTCGCTATGAGTGTTATTTGTGTGGCTATAGTTTTTTTGCATCCATCATGGCAACGTTTTTTGGTTCATTTTCGTAAGCACACCGGTGAAACTCCATTCAATTGCAAGTGTTGTGCCAAAAAATTTACAAGTAAACGAATGCTTAACTTTCATATGAAATATCATCCAAATGAAATTTTATTGAAATGTTCGTTTTGTGAACGAAAATTTGAAACAATCGGTGGAGCAAAAGAACACGAATCAAATTGTTCACTTCAACGAAAATATGAATGTCATTTATGTAAAACAACATTCACGTATAGGTCAAGTTTGAGGCGACACATGCCACAACATACGGGTCAGTTTACATTCAATTGTCAATACTGTAAAAAAGGTTATGCTCGAAAGGATTTTCTCGATATTCATTTGAAAACGAAACACACAATCGAACTACAGTTTTCATGCACAATATGTGACCTAAGATTTTCACAAAAAAATCTTGCCGATGAACACATGCTGAGCTGTAAAATGAAGAGAAAACTTTTCAATTGTGACTTATGCAATTATTCTACCATATCCAAGTCGTATGCCGAAGACCATAGACAACAGCACATTGGTTCCGATGAGTTTAAGTGTTTGCATTGCTCTGAAATCTTCTTACAGCGCAGTAAACTTGTTCATCATGTAAAAACTCACAACAAGAAATCGAAATTTAAATGTCCGCATTGCGCTAGGCCATATGCACGATGGTTATTCATGGAAAAACATAGACAAAATTGCCATTTTTTACCAAGTAACAATGAATAAAATTTAAAAAAAAAATATGAATTATAAAATGGATTTTCTTTTATTTCTTTTATTTAGTTTTTTTTTCTTTTATGCGATATAAAAACACATATTCTATGAAGTACAAAAATAAATGATAAACTTAACAAATATTTTTTCTCATAAATTGAACAATTGTTATGGTGTTTTTTTTTTAAATGCTAAAAATTGGCTACCATTTTTGATTTAGTTGCTTTTTCAACCAATTAAAATTTATATTAAAATTACAGATATAAAAAATATCTTTTTTTGAATTTTTGGTTTTGCTGGTATTAAATACTTTAACGGCTTTTTCGCTTGTGCTACAAATGTTGAAGTGAAGAAAGACAGTCTTATTGTTTGTTTGTCTTCTTTGTACGCATTGCATCACCTTTTCCTATGTTCAAATAGAGAACAATAGATAGAATTATAAGTTAGGTATTATTTAACTAATATATGAAGAGCACTGACGCCGATGTTCTGTTATTTTGTTATTTTCAACGTTGGTGCCCAAAAACAACGATTGCACCAATATTAGATTGCACTCACATTTAACCAGAGTTTCCTTCAGCGCTGCTGCCATTCATAGCATAACAAAATATTTTACTGAGAATGCGTTATTCGCCGCATCAAGCTATGCACATGGTTCGATGAATTTACACAGCACAGAGTGAATGACTCGTATTGTTCTCTTCTAGATTCTCTTAGCGTTCGGTTGAGAGAACAGTACATGTATTGTTGTTCCCTGTGATGTGTAAACGCTGCGTATTATTAGGATGACGCATTCTCAGCAAGATATATGTTTATGCTGTGGATGGTAGCAGCTCTGGGTGAAACTCTGCATTTAACAGTGAATGAGAGAAAGGAAATAGATTCTTTGCTAATATAAGAAGATTGTAGTTAAAAATAAGCTTTGGTGCCCTTGCCATTTATGGGCAAAAGATATGCAATAAATGTCAATGTGTAAAAACGAAAAAAAAAAGAATTTAATAGCTTACATGTGTGCACTCTATGCATTTGAGTTTTCTACCTAAATGTAAGTATGATTAAAGTCTCACTGCTGACCCTTATCATACTGATCCTTACTGTTGCACAAGAAAAACGAAAAAAGCAATAAAAATCAATTTTAAGTTGGTTTTTTTTTTAATACTTACAAATATCTTAGTTTGCAATTGTTACCGCAATATAACAACGTTAATTTTTGTGAGGGTTGCGAATTCTGGCACTGTACACATTTTCGTCCTTTATTATCTGTTTTTTCTGCCATCGTAACTTCGTCATTCGCTTGGTTTAAAAAATCTGTTGTTTCTAATTCGCGTTTATAAGGGCCCATTATTCGGTCCACAACACTTTCTCTCATATCTTCAACCAACCCGTTCATATTTTCTTTATCCTGACGGTATTTTGATTGAATTAAGCCTAATTCAGTTTTCAATTGACCATTTTCTTCTTTTAAGTTGTTTGTGCGCGATTTCCAAATTTCATTTTCACTGCGCAATCGACTTATGATATGCGTTTGTTCCTCTTGGATTTTTAACGAATCCATATACTTGATTTTGTTTTGTTCAAGCTGTTGTGTGAGTTCTTTTTCCTTACGTTGGGTGTTTACTATTTGAGTCAATCGCGCAACTTCGCAACAGTATTCCTTTACTCTCTGGTTGTATTCATTTCGTAAGTTTTCAATTTCTCTGGATTGATTCGGAATCGTATGGTAGACTGCGGCCTGCAATTGACTGGTCAATTGGTTGTTTTCAATTTTCAGTTCGGTAAAATTATCTTCACCTTCTTTTGAAGACTTTTTCAAATGGTCGATCTCTCTTTCCAATTCTTTTTTGTCATTCTCGTATGTATCACAGCGCTCTTGGAGATTAGTTATTATTTTGTCGGTTCTGACTTTCACTTCATCCAAATTAAGTACACTCTCAATTTCATAAGACTCTTTTAGCTGTTGAACTTCCTTTTTATGATTACTTTTTAACATTTCAATTGCCGTTTTCAGCTCTTCATTTTCCATCTCCAATTTACGTTGATATTCTTCGTTATTCAATAAAACTGAACTTGAATCATCTTTTAAAATATCACGGAAACATTCGAGCCAATTTACATTTTCATATTTTGCAATTATGGCCAAATTTTGTTTTGTTGGTGACATCGGATACGTTTTACGGACTTTCGTTGGTGGGCTATCGGAATCATCATTTTCATTTTTCCGTTTTTCGGTTGATGTTGAAGCTATCGCATCATCCTATTCAAATAAATAGAAATGATGTAAAATGTACGGATTTTATACAATATTCGGTCACTCTTGTACAACAAGTGCTGCTTCGGTGCCCCATTTACTGCTGAAGTCATTTAAATTGAAAAAAAAGAGGAATATTTACCAATGTTTGCGTTTGTTCCATTGTGTTAATCGATGTCTCTGAAGCAACATCACATAGTTGTTGCTCCATCTGTTCTGGACGATTCTATATAAAAGTATGACATTATATAAATAGAACAGCTGCTATATAAAATTCACTTTTTTATATGACGTAAACTTTGAGAAGAATCTTAACGATACTTACTGAAGTTTCCGTGAATGTAACTGATTCGGTCGTATCAGTTTGGTTGTCACTTTGACTTGGTTCAGTTGGGGTCTCAAATACGTTCTTTGTATCTTTTGTAAATGGAAAATATTTGTCAATTAAAAATGTGCTTCGTTAAATAAAAATAACTTTTGAAAAAAGTCCAAAATACTAAACGAAAGTGACTTCATAGTTTAAATAACTGGGTGATTTCGATGTGTCAAACTAAACACTAATGGCGACTCCTTTTTATACAGGGTGCACCACAATTCGATTACACATTTAACTGAAAAAATATATATGTGCCAAGACCGATTTTTTTCTGGCGCAATTGCTGTGTTCAAGCCGGCCAAAAAAATGGAAGACAAGAAAAAATCTACCATTTTGGTGAAAAATGTGCGTTTTTTATCCAAAAGTAGAATGGACAATCTGCCTTGTATACCCTATAAACACATTATACCATTGACATATATGTGCTTCGCATGCTTTTAATAAAACAATAAATTATATTAAGCAATACTTTTGTTTGCGTTTAGGAATATTTTTATTTGCGTTTAGGAGTGAGTGAATGCACGCAATAACAGTATTCCCCCCGATGCGAGAGTAGCAAACTAATTAATTAAGATACTAAAGTAGAGGGAAAGAAATATTGTTTATGTTGGAGTTCTCAATATTTATTATAACACAATCGAAATGTGTACGTACTTGTACTTAATTACTCATTGGCACTTTAAAAGAAAGAAACAACAATAACATATATAAAAAAAATCACATTTACCGATTTTCACTTCGATTTGATCATTGTTGGATATATTCATGGCTTCGGGTGTATCACTTGCACTCAATTCACGTCCATTATAAAAAAAATAGAGCTTTTCAAGTGGTATTAGTGTCTCGTTTGAATAAAAGTCCATCATTTTTTTTAATTTTTGCGTCGGTCGGATCTTCACTTTCTTAATTCCGTTCTTTCGATGCAAAAATAATGTTATTTTTTCTTCCTGCATCTTTGAAACGTCTATTGGCACAAATGGTGTAAATTCTTAGAAAATATGTTTTTATTTAACACTGTGTTCAGCACTTTTCTTGTTTAATGCATTCCGTTGCAGATTATTTGTTTTCAACTGCTTTGGAAATCATTGTACGATTTTTTTCACAGCGAAGAATTTTAGACTGTATATTTTGACAGTTCAAACAATACTGAAAGCACACTGAACGTTTTCTCCGTCTGTATGAAACGAAATTCCACACACTACAACACATGCGCTGATGTCTACACATGCACTCTTGAAATGTATACCAATACAATTCGATACGCACATTTATTTTGTGAAACAAACACTGCTCACATACTATAACGAATGCATATCGAAAGAGAGTCAATAAAATCATAAACACGCTGATCGTTTGGTGTTCTTAACAGAATGAAGCTAAAGAAGGCTACAGAACGATAAAATAAAATGAACAACGTTTTTCGCTTTCACAGCATAACCCGACCGACGTCTTGGTGTAAAATATTGAATTACTTCGTTTGTTTATCTTTCGAAAAAGACAGTTTGCCTTTGAACAAAGAAATTTTGCTTGACAAATAAAATAACAGATTCAATGTATTTTGAATAGTCAGAATAATAAAAAAATACGATTTATTGAAGATTGAATACAAATTAGTTTAATGAAATTCAATGTTTCAGCAGCGTTTTTCGTGTCTGTCCGTCTATAATTATTTTCTCTTCAAAAATATGTCAGTTTGGTTATTTTTAAGATATTTCAATGTATTCGTCGACTATTCAACAATTTTGTTTTCATACAAAAACGTTTTTCAAAAATTCATTCGAATATACGTCCGATGTTGATATTAAACAAATCGGTTTTCCTCTTTCATCATATCAAAATCGTCTTTTTTTGCCTTCTCAATTTTTACGTACCTTTTTTTTATCACCGAGAAGAAAAAATAACCGGTTATTTAAAATTAATGATTTGGGATCGTTTTTTGTTCTACTTACGGTCCGAATTCTGACGGGTTTATAGTCAATGCCATGTCAATTTCGGATGGATTTTTGAATTCAACCAGCGCTGTACGATTTTTTTTATCGCGTTGTATTTGAATACCATCGTCACGGTCAATTTCCAGCCCTGAAAAAATTATTCAAAAAATAATATGAATTCATATGATCTCCAATATATTTCCATTTCAAGTGCATATTTACCAGGGAACATATTCAAAACGGCCTCCTTATTGAATAAAATTGGAAGACCAATAATCCGTAGATATTCGCACGTTTGAATAGATTTTGCGCTGCTTCCGTTTGAATGCTGTATTAATGACGATTGATCTGATGGATATTTGCATCCATTTTTGAAGCATTTAATCATCCGTTCATTTGTACTGCGATAAACGCGAATGTTATTCTTATTGTCATTACGTTTGACCGCACATTCAATATCGTCGATATTCTGGAATTTCACAAAGGCACCAAATTTGCCTGATGGACCCGGCTCATTGGTCAAATGAAGTCGACCAACGCCCAAACCTAAATAAAGGTAATTTTTTGTATTAAATAGTTATCAATTTCAAATAGATCGATTAAAAAGAATACAAGAACAAATATAGTATTTGTTTACCAGGGAAGAGCTTTCGAACATCTTCTTCTTTGTATTTCGCTGGGAGACCATCAATAAATACAATCTTGTCTTTTGATGGAATGAGTTGCTTTCTAACCAAATCTCTGAAGAATTCATTGTTTCCTGGTTTCACTAAAAAAATGGACACAAACAATTAAATTTGACTTAGTTACTGAAATGAAGTCTTTTTTTGACAGTTATATACTAACCCTCGATATAATAACCATCGAATTGCGTTGAGTTGAACGTATATGCCGTTTGCAAGTCACGCATACTAGATAATTGGATCAATGCACGGCCACCCTTTGCACTTATTTGGTGCGTAATGAAATGAATTCCATTTAATCCATTGAGAAAATTTACGTTTACGAAAAAATTGTTGATTTCCTTGCGTGTTGCTGACCATGGCAATCCATTGACTTCAATCAAATGCAATGAATCGTAATTGAAATCATCGAAACTGTCACTTGCCGATGACTCAAGTACACGCACTCCACGCCATCCCTCGTCCAGTAAAAATCCAGTGGATTCTTAATTGATGATGAGTGTTTTAATAATTATGTGACGATTTGAATTCATAATGATTCATCTTACCTTCCTTCTTTCGTTGTTCTTCCTTCGTTTGGTCATATTTTTCCATTGTCTGTTGAACGAATTCATGACGTCTTTGTACTTCTGATGGACCAGCGGAGTCCATTTTTGAAATTTTCATGTCAGCCATTGATTGATTGGAACAATCTTTGCCTGGACCAATAATTTGCCGTCCGCCGTATATATTCTTGCTTTTGTCTTGGAAAGCCTAAAAATATTATTGTCAAAATGGCGAATGTCTCTCTCGATCCGATTACACTTACCATTCGGCCAATTTCTGGCTTCCATATTTCATTTGCTGGTGGTGACAGTGTTACCTGCGCTGAACTTGTTGGGATTGTCTGGACTTCGGACTGATGTTGAATTGGTGGCATATAATTGTCTCGGGTTAATAAAACATGGGACACTTTGCGCGTGTGTGCTTCGAAATCTTCTTTTGTTATCGGCAGTGTTTCCTGGTAGAGTATCAATTTTCTGTCAATTTCATATTTTGACAAAGAAAATAAAATGCGTTATATGTCATATGCTTACAATACACAATCGGCACACGATATTTCGTCGTAATTCGAAGCATCGTTCATCCAAATCGAACAAAAAATCCATTTCATTCGAACCATGCGCCGAATTAACCACGGTAGAATTTGCCAGCAAATCACCAACACATTTCAGTGTATCCGAAAGCATTCCACTTGTTTTTCTGTCGATTTGAAGATTCGTTTGATTGGCGTACGCACGTAAATTGCGTAAAAATATGCTCACTTCGAAACTCAATGAACTCTATGAATATATATTTACATGAATTTGGGTAAATAATTGGAATTGTATGCTAAAATTGAAGAAAAATATTACCGTTTGGTCCATGTTGTGTTTTTGCTCACTTCCGAAAATATTGAACTGTCACCGATGAAATGTAATCACGTTGTGTGGCGGTATAAGATGCCTCTGTCAATTTTTTCAGACAGCAAGTCGGTGTTGACGCATGTGACACAATCTAAATGTATAGCATTATTCGGATTGACCGCTGCTCCAGTGTTTGCAACATAACAGTATCTCTCTCTTTCTGTCGATGTTTGATGTTTCGACCGAAACAAAATAAACAAACGAATTCTTATGAAATATACTTTTGACAATAGCGAAATTTTTATTACCATTTACACTGAGCAAAAAAAAACTCTACAGCGTTACGATAGAAAAAAGAAGCGGAATTTATATTGGATGAATTGTCAATTTTTTCATGAATCCATATTACAATAGACAATTAGTTTTTTTTACGATTAATGTACCTTTAATGTTTTCTCTTAAATGTTTCTAAGCGATTTGTATGTCATGAAATTTATACAATTAATTAACCTTTTATATTAACTTAATTTAAAATGGCTTATTTCTATTAGATGCTAAAATGGCCCTACGCTATAAACGCTCAGGACTCATTGCCGTTGGAGTTGGTGCTGGAGAAGAACCGAGTGGCACCACTAATGGCGTCATTGGCTTTCGATATTTGGGTGTTGAGCCACGTGTTCCCTGATTGCTTGGACCGTTCGGTTTTAAGCGTGGCCGACCTGGTCCTCTTCGTACTTTATTCACATTTGGATTGACAGGCGAATCATACGGTTGTTCTGTGATTTCAGCACTGTTCACCGCCGGTATAGTAACATCAACAATAGCATCTCTGCTTAAACCGCCACGATTTCCACGCCTTGAACCACGTGGTCGTCCTCGTTTTGCACCTCGAGTTGGCGGCGGTTTACGATATCGATTCGCCAAATCATCAACCAAAAATGTTTGAGAGCTCGAATTCGATAAACTATCACAATCAACAACAACCGTTTCACTGCTCGACTCATAATTAACCGGTTGTTCGAGTAGCGATTCGGCCGGACTACTTTTCTCACTGAAATCCGTAAACGATGACTCTCCAAATGATTTGTCCGAACGGAACTTTTTAATTTGATCGTCGACCTGCGTTAATGAATTCAAAAAATGGTTAATTTAATTTTTTTTTTACCGTAAAGGTACTACACATTAACTTACTTTTATCGAAATTGCCTTCCGTTTACGTTCTTTTTCTGCTTCCAATCGTGTATTCTCCTCTTGGGCTAATCTCCGCTTTTCTTCATTTCGTTGACGATCTGTACAAAAATGTGATTAAGTCGTAAATTGAATTTCATCAAATCAAAACGTCAAGAAGAATCAAAGAAAAACGAATTTAATACATACATTTCTGTTCAATTTCCTCGTCGTCGAGAAGAAGTGATACAACTTCTTTTGGCTTAAGCGTATCTGGTTTGAAATTTCCACCACTTATGACCATTCGTTGAATCTAAACGGAATATTTATACATTAATCGTTGTACGCAAGACAATATTTATATTTCCTTCAACTTACTTCACTCTTTTCTCTGGCTCTCTGTAAAATACGTTCTTCAATCGTTCCTTTGCAAATCAATCGATACACTGTTACTTGCTTTGTCTGACCAAGTCGATGTGCACGATCCATGGCCTGTTGATCGACGGTTGGATTCCAATCGGAATCGTAAAAGATGACTGTGTCGGCAGCGGTCAAATTAATTCCTAGACCACCGGCTCGAGTTGACAGAAGAAAGACAAAAATATCATCACGTTTTTGAAAATCGGCAACCATATCGCGACGAGCCGATATCTTACTCGAACCATCTAATCGCATATAACGATGTTTTCGATGCCACATATACTCCTATAATGTATCCAATTAAACAGATTTGATATTATTTTTGTTTTTATTTTTCAGCTCAACCCAAGCGGGGTTGGCGTATATGAGATTTCATTGAAATGAAAAAGAGAAAAAACAACAACAATAGCACGGCCATACAGAGCTGTACATCTATGCATGCTGATGCATACATACACATATACGCTTTCTTCATTCTTTCATTCCATTCTTATACGTATCTCACTGGTCAACAGATCTATGTAGCCATGTTACTGTTGTTGTTTTTTTTCTCTTTTTCGATTCAATTCATTGTAACTAATGGGAGTTCAACTATGGAATACAAGATGGCACAGATGAGGGGAATTCGCATTTTCTCTCTTCATAGGCTTAGCCGGTTGGATCAACCATTATTTTGCTTGAAATATGACCAATTTTCGAATGACGTTTACCTCCAATAAATCAATAACTCTTGTCATTTGTGAGTAGATTAGTACGCGATGATTTTGTGTTTTCAGACGTTTCAGCAAACCATCCAAATAAGAAAGTTTGCCCGAATCTGTGATGAGCGCTTGTTTATCGGGTATTTGAATGTTTGACCATCCGATTGACGGTCGACACTCGTCGAAACTAATTTTCAACAATTCGGCAGCTTCTGTACATTCGCAGCTTTCATTTCTGATTCGATGCCATGATGCTGCTCTGCTGTCAACACTGCATTGAAACAATGTTTTTTGTATTATTTGCGAAATTCGTGTAAAATGAAATGAATTTCTTTGAAAACTTACTAGTATTTTCGTCGAGTGCTTTGAACTTTGGGCGCCAAACCAGTGATAAAAGCAGGCAATGAAGTTGGTTCACACCTTAAGTGTCTTGGCGGTCGTGGTATATAATGATGTTCAGGCAATAAATTACAATCCTCTCTCTTCGATACTTTTTCGGTTATTTCTTGAATGAGCGGTTCCGATTTAACTGTCTGATTTATTTTACTCCGAATGATTCGATGCTCAATTGATTCGGCCATCGAGTATATAATTTGTTCGCTGAATGTGAAAAATGGATGCTCGGATACCTATCGAATGAATTTGATATTCAGAATAAGAATAAGTGTTTGAGTGAAAAATAAATATGATGATTGTCATACCCAACGCGTAAAGATCAGACTGTGTTCCGATTCGATTAATGATAATATCGCCAATTTAACGGAAGCGGTTAAAAGTAAATGTCTAGAAGGGATTGATTTCTCCCACGTTTGTGCATATTGTATCCGTTTCAGTGTTTCATTGATCCATTTTTGTTTGAGAAGAGCATAAAATGTTCCCTTCGAATGTGTATCGTCCAACTCTTGTGGGCTCCAATTACAAAAACGACTAAACGAAAAACTGCTCTCTAAATTCAGATCGATAACATTTTTATACTCAACATTTCGATCAGATGAATCTTTTGGAAATAGTGAGCGCTGTACATTCTCCGCTTTGAATATGTTGAATCTAAATGATAAACGGAGATGAACAATTTTCCTTACAATTTTATATGCATCAATTTGAAAGCAATTCTCACCGATTATAAAATAAATGCTCTTTGCTTGGAATTATTTGTTGTAGTGTGCTATTTTCATAAACAAGCCGCGCAATTGGATAATCAACGCATTTCATGATAAATGGACTCTTTGCATCGCGTCGTTCGAATAAATCCGGATGATTGCAAACCTTTCGAAATTGCATCACAAGATTCATCAAATTTGATGTGAAATTCTTATCGACACCATGCTCTGCACCACGATCGGTGTATTGAAGTAAATCTTCGATGCGTATTTTCTTCTTCAATGCCATGTACAATAAATTTTGACGCATTGTTAGCGGACAATAGACCATGATCTCGATTTTATCCGACAATTCATTCTCGACATCTTTTTTGATACGGCGCAACATGAACGGTTTTAAAATCATATGTAATCGCGATATTTGCTCTGAGAAAAATCAAAAAGTTCAATTTTAAATTCGATTAATTTTTACGGTAAGCACTTACTCTCATCAATGCCAGTTTTATTTTCTGCGTGACTTTCGATATCCTTGGAAAACCATTCATTGAACTCATCGTGTGAATCGAATAATGTTGGCATTATAAAATGCAGTAATGCCCACAATTCGGCCATACTATTTTGAATGGGTGTACCGCTCAACAATAAACGATTCCTACAATTGAATCCAAGCAACAATTTCCATCGTACGGACGATGAACTTTTGATGGCCTGTGCCTCGTCCAGTATCATATATTGCCATTTGATGCGATTGAAATACTTGTAATCGGACACAATGAGTTGATAGCTAGTGATAACAACGTGAAAACTTGCTTCTTTTGTATGCAAATCTTTTTGTTCCCAAAATTGACGCAATATCTTTCGTTCGTTTGGCGAACCCCAATATGGTACGACATTAAAATCAGGTACGAAACGTTGCATCTCTTGTTGCCAATTGTGCAACGTGGATGCCGGTGATATAATTAAGAATGGTCCCCACACACCATAATGCTCGGCTATGTGACACAGGAATGCAATCGATTGAACCTATTAAAATGAACGGAAAATTATTGATACATATATCTTACGCGCGGTTTAAGAGTTTTTAATGTTCACTTACAGTCTTTCCCAAACCCATTTCTGAAACCAAACAACAAAAAATCGAAATAACAATTTTTGAATCAATAAATTTTAAGAATATAATGGATGAAGAAAAAGAGAATACAAACCATCTGCTAAAATGCCGCTAATGCCTTGATCATAGAGATTTGCAAGCCATGTCATTCCCTTGATTTGATATCCCTTTAGATTACCCTGAAATATTGATGGCTGTGGCAATTCTTCTATACTACCGTCCGTATGGAGTTGCAAAGGTGACAATGGATCTTGTTTACTCAACGTATCGAATTTTTTCGTTCGTTCACGTTCCGTGTTGAATGCTTCTTTAGCTTGTCTCTGTGCCATTTGTTTCATTTTATCGCTGTTATAATCGTCGAGTGCTGCCAATCTGGGATTTACTTCTTCATCCAATTGATTTAAAATGCGCAATTGCTCTTCTTCTGTACCCTTTCCCAGTTTTTTTGACATGAAATGTGCATACAGCTCCGTTTGTGTGATCAAAAAATTCAATTTGCGTTGTTGTCGTTTTGCTTCAATAAGCTCAATATCCATCTGTACAATTAAACAATGCCAATATTTAAGATTTAGCTTGAAAAATAAAAAAATGTGATTTTACTATAAGATTTACCTTTCGTTGTTCTTCTGCCTCTTTTTCCATGCGTCGTTTTGTTTCGCGTTCGACCCGATCGTACCGTTTCCAATAGCCTTGCATTTCTCTGGTTAATCTCTTCGCTCTCCATATCGTTTCTTTCATATTTTTCTGCGATTGCATGGCCTTCTGACGGAACGTTTTCATGCACAATGTCGATATACGCTTGCAACTGCTTACAATTTCTTTATGATTATTTACTTTGGCCCGTTGCACTTTGCCCAACTCTTTTTTCGCCATTAAAATCCACAATTTTCGACGACGTGCCGCAATTGCTTCGGGTGTTTTACTCAATGCATTTTTCTTTCGTTGTTTTCTTGTCATGGCCATGCCATTGCCTTTCGAATCACGATTATCGTTTGAATCATCTTTTGTCAATGACATATCATCATCCCAAACAATTTCACCTGGTTCCAAATTTTCATTGTCCGTTTTTACGCCACGCTTTTTCTTCGATTTTCGAAATTTGCCCGTTTTTGTGAGTTTCACTTTCTTTTGCTTTGTAACGCCAACAATTTTATGCTGATGCTCACTGTACATATCAACATTTGATAGAATACTGGCACCATAGTAGCCAAATTGTGAGTTCTGATGGAAGAAAAAATAAATTACTTGATGATGATGTAAACAAATGTACAGAATCAATCATAATTACATGTGGATTTTGATAGTATTTCGATCGAATTTTCTTTTCTTTCACATGCTCTTTTAGCATATCTCGAATGTATTCATCTTCATCGGATGGTTCTGGCTCGGTTTCTGTGTCACTCAACAATATGTCCTGTAGCCACTTGCGATCCGATCCAATTTGTGATAGATTGTATATTTGTAATTTATCATTCTGTCGATCTGAAACATACACACAAATCACATCAGTGAAATTTGACCAAAAACCAATTAAAACATACAGACAGCCTCATTATACGTACCACATTTTGATGTGACAATGCCATTCATAATTTTCTCATCTGGTGCCAAAATATCAGTATTAACATCGGAATCCGATTCTTCGCTACTTGATAATGGTTGCGAGAGAATTTCTTGTGCATATGACATAAATGGATCGATATTAAGGCTTGCCTCAAGCCGTTGAATGTACAGTGGTTTGGCCACTGGTTGTCCATGATTTAAGTTGAAATTTATTGCGTTCGGCATCGTTGAATCATTCATTTTCGTATTCAGGATCTAGATACTAGTCACATTGTAAAATAACCGAAAATCGAAACACATAAATGAAATGTCACGATTTTTTTCATATATATATAAAACATTTTTAATAGATTCATATAAATGTGATTACCAAAAAAAATATGCGTCACTGAAATCTTGATGTGTTTTTTTTTTGCTATGCAAATGTAATCAACAGAAATAATGTTTACACTGTATACTCGAATTAGTATTTGAATCGTTTATTTTTATTGAATTGAATGGATTATTTCGTTGCCATTCCAGTTTACATTTTTCTATATAACATGGCTACAATTCAATATAATATTCACACGAAATCTATATAAAAAATTTTTTTGTTATGCCATTGTAAATTTGTTGACACATTCACTCGTTGAGTGTGTTCCGCGTTAATTTGACAGCCGAATCATAGTATTCCGACTGGAAAATGCGACGCCAACACACGCACAACACTGGAAATGTCAATGTGGCGCTGCAATCGCTTAACGGAATATACATCACAGTTCGTGGTACATTCAAATGCTTATTTTTACATCAAATGTTTGTATTGATGGGATATTTTATGCCAGCAACTATTTTAGTTTATTATTCATTTAATTTCTTTTTTCACTTTTAATTTTAACTGAGATATTTTTATGTTTTTTTAGTGTATGGACGAGATCGCAAAATAATAATAATAATGATAATAATATCAGAAAATAAATGTTCTTAAGAGCTAAATTAATATTGAAATAGAAAAAGGCAATTTTGGCCTAAAATTCCGGTGACAAACACAATTTATCACTTGCGTATTATATCTAACGCGCAATCAATTTTCGGAATGACGTTTGGATCGTTGGGTTTTATGAGAATGATTTCATTGCTTTTTGCATCTGTTGGTTTGCAGCTCCACTCCTTTTCCGGTTCCAAATGAATTGAGGAATAAAGGATAGGTGTTAGGTTCAAAATAGGTACCAATCGCAGCTGTAATGTTTCCAATGTATCCCCTTCGTTCAATTCAACTAATATTGGAATGCATTTTCGATCCTTTGCACTATAAATTAATAAAAACAAGTGTTGAAAAGTAATTAAATATTAATTATTGTCTCTATAGTAATTATTTGTAATTTCCTTGTTTTACCTGTCTCCAACAAATCGAACACATACATAATAGGATTCGGAACTTATTAAAAGTCCTCGTTGATACTGATCCAATCTGTATTCATAGTGGCTGCAATTTAGATCGATGACTTTAGTGTCCGGCGATACAATGCCAATAATGTAACCATCTTTTATTTGTACTACTCTTTGTTTTATGACGCGGTGTGTATGGCATAGTTCATCAACCGTCGTTGATTCGTCAAACGTAAATTGTAGCTCATCTATCTTTCTACCGTGTATATTGACCAACGGCAACGTAATCGAATGTTCACCAAATATTCGATACTTAATTTTTGCTTCATTTTCCATCAAAAACTCTGACACGGTTGCGTTCATTAAATCGCCAGCAATTTCAACGTCTGTAAATACAAAGAAAATGGTTTGATTTTGTGTAGCAATTAAAAAATGCTATCTTTATCATGGCTATGTCAATCTTACCATTTATATTGAAGAAGTGTGCGTTGGATTTATCCAATTCCAGGGCATCGGTAATAAAATCAAGGGCAAGCGATAGTTTATCTGTGTCTTTGAACGAAAAGTCGATATTTGAATTCAATACAAGTATATCGTTGGTTTCTGGTGGACTTAATGGAAACAAGCTGTTCCGCGCAGACCGATGTTCGAAAAGAATATCGATGAAGTCTTCATCAGCCAAGAAAAGTTCGACTGTTTCTCCGTCCGTTGGTATCTGAAACAATTCACCATCTTCTCGAAAAAATTCAAATTCATTTAAATTGCCTTTTATTTGTGTGATGAAGCTGTCAATAATGTGCTGCATTAGATCGGTACGATTGCATTCAATTGCTATTCTATCACATGAATTTTTGCAATTTTTGAACATCACTCTCGTATCCTTGATCACTATCGAATGCTCTGGTGAAGCATCATAGAAATCAGATTGATGTTCAAAATCCATTGGTTCATGGGGAAGTGGTGTTTTGTTATATGACATCTCAACGTCAGTCTCATAAATTTCTGATGTGTCTTGGTCAATAATTCTGTACGAAAAGACGATACCTTTCTGTTTTCTTAAACGTGTAAACGTTTGCTGAATATTTCTTTGGCGGTAAAAACTTTCAATATTTGTTTGCCAGAAATTGCATTCGATCACATTGTTATCGACATCCAATAATTGAATGCACTCGCATGTTTTTTCCTGAAATAATTTTTTTTTCATCAAAAAACTACTAATTTTTTCAAAACAAAAAATATTATAAAAAATTACAACTTACAGTCAAATCGGCAATGTATTCAACGATGTTAAGTAATGAAGTGGTGTCGTCGAATTCTTGACTAAAAAGTTCTGCATGATCGATATCGGAATGTACGTGTACACGAATGCCATTTTCAATTTGTGTTGATGCTACATTTGATGGTAATTTTCTGGACCTATGCACGAGTAGCGGTTTTTTCACCTCATTTGATTGGGACGTTGAGACGTTCGATGAATTGAATGCGCTCAAATATTTTTCGGTTGGATGTTGTTCACTCAACAGCTCAAACGTAACGGTTCCTGAATGTGTGTCCTTATTCTTTGAAACGATTTTACTAATTAACTGTTCCGTGTGGAGCTTTCGACATTTGTACTTTTCGTCAACGCCCATGTCTCCAATAATAGCAATATCTTTGTCATTGCCATCGTATTGTATCATCTCCCGAATGTGAATTTGAATGTCTCGCACCGTTTGTTCGAGCGAAAAATACGAATGACCGACAAATGTTAAATTATCACCATCGTATTGTTTGATGAAAATCAATGCGTCCTTCGTTTTATCAAATGCATTCAAATGCTGCTCCGCTGAACATATTTCAACAAACAATTGACAACCCTTTTTGAATATTTTGTTAACTTCCTCTTCGCTATCTATTAAGTTGTCGTTGTCTAATATGTGCATTGCGCTTTTTTGACTATTCAATGCCCACACCACCAAATTCTTTTCCACGTTCTGTATTTTAAATGCACGGCCAAGAATGTCCAAAAATGAACTATATGATTTTTGTTTATCAATCAAAAATTTCAAACCAAATCGTTTATCCATTATACTTTCACCAGCTTTCAATGTGTCGTTCATTTGTAAACGTTCTGGCGTGTATACGATTACTTCGATCCACTGCTTTTTTATTGTCAGTTCGAGTAATTCCTTTGCTGTTTCAGCATTAATTAAATCACTGCACATCACATCTTGAATCGACACATCGCTCATGATTTGTGACTTGCATGAATCTTTGATGTAGACCAGAATGTATGCGTTTTTGCTGCATGTAGAACTGCCGTAGTTAAATCTGATTGCATCACTTATTGAACACTTGCATACAACTTGATCGTTGAATTCAAACCATTCGCCATTTAACTTGGGCGATATGTAAGCCACATAATGGCCCGAATCAACCTTTCCTGAATGCACTGTAAAAATGAGAAATAATATTTTTTTCTAACGAACTGAATATTTTCTAGAGAAAATAAAAAAAAAGAAACAAATTTATTCAAAATCTTGACTTACCCAAAACTGAATGTAGCGTGTATATGGCATCTGTGCAATACTGGCTCAAATCTAGTGTTGAATAGAATTTGAATGGTTTGTTGTTTTTGCTGATGGTATTTGTTTTCATATTATATTGGAAGCGTTTTAATTGAACGTGTAAAACCGGTGGCAATTTTATGAATCGAAACTCCTGCTTTGCTTCATCTTTGCCATGTTCATGTTCATAGCTGGAAATGAAATCATTTCCAATCAATATAAATTCAAACGAAGCCGAATGGTATAAAATGACATTGAAACTTACTCAGATAGAATCAATGTTTGTAAGTATGTTTGGAATGCCCCATAGAGATCATCATCCTCATCAATCGAAAGTTGAAGATCCCAAAATGTTTCTTTCTTCTTCTTCACGAAACCGACGGTTTCGCATGTTGTTATTGTTTCTAATTCACCAACGAATAGCTTTGTTAACCGTTCTCCAAATGGGGTACCTTCAACAATTTGCTCTAGGTTATCTATTAATCGGCGTAAAAATTCGTGAACATCTTGTTGTGCTGTGGTAGTCATTTCTTCCCAATCGAAGCACTTGATCATATTCGTCGTACGAATTTCCGATAATTCACCCAATTGCATCGTATAAAATATGTATTTCAACCAAAATGCGAATGAATCACTTGCCAATTCCGGTTCAATTTCCAAACCATAGACGATGCGACGAAATTCGTTCGTATGATACAATGATTGTAGCAATGAATTTATATAGCATGTTGCACCTTCATTCATCAATCCACTGTAACCGGTGGCCGCGTATGACGGCCATGCGTATCCTTCATTCGGAAGAGTGGCCGATATATCAATGGTGCAAGTGAGTTTTTTCAATTCAGATACTTTATCCCATTCGATGCTGTACGATATCTTAGTACTGCGATTATTTAATTCACATTCATGGACCCATTGGAATCGAATGGTATTTTCTGCCTTTGATTCCACTTTAATCTGAAATTGGCTTGACCATCGTTTAATATCTTTACCTACGTGCAAATGAAATGACAACGGTGATTGTTTTTGCAATCGTTTGCTGATGTTCCGTTTTTCTCGTGTGACTCGAATGTAAAATGGTAAACTTTGCACGAAAAATGTTTTTGAGGTTAATTCTTCACCAGTCTCAAATTTATCAACATTTATAATACAACAATTGAGCCGAACTTTTTTTTCGAAATTCGATGGAATATGTGCCGAGACAAATAATACTGTATCATCGCTTGTTTTCAGCGCAAATTGTGAGGCTTGTTCAGAACTATCGCCCATTTTGAAGGCCGTACAAAACTTATACACAAATTTCTCTTAAAGACCGTATTCTTATGAATTTGACTACATCCAACTGTTATTGTTCGCGCTGTGATCTCGACTGTTGTGCCAGTGTATGAGAATGACGATTGACGCATCAAGATTTTGGCGCTAATGTCAAAATATTTGACAAATGCATAAACACTAACCAATTTCATTGTGGTCATTTGCATTGCTTTTTATACGTTCTGTTCATTTTGAATGTAAACATGTGCCGTTATGTCACCATGCAAAAACCATTTTGTGTCAGAAATAAAAACACCATAGTGGTGCACAGAGGCACTCATTTTTCTCTCTTCTTTCCGATCTAAATTTGTTTATGTTTGGATATCAATTTGGAATTTTATTATAACAATTTTTCCATACAATACGAGCATGCTATTTGATTCGATGTACATCAATTTTAAATACGATCATACGTCAAATGTTCAATTTTACGGAATTGTAAACGTATTAAGTGTAAAATTGAGCCTTCAAGGTATAATTAACTTTTGATCTACATTGAATCGCTTCCATTTACACATACTAAGATATATAAAAACAATATTTCTATGCAATTTTCCCTTAATTAATTGAAGAAATAAATAAACTAAATCACAGACCTACATTTTTCATCAGTGTCACAATATGGTGTAAAGTAATGGTAAGTAATACATAAAATAAGTTGAAAATTTGTGAAATTATTTCGCCAAATGTTAAATTTTTTGTAATTTTGCCATTTTGTTGGCCTTTCAACGCTGAAAATGGGACTTCTCTATTGAATTTAGATCGAGCTGTGGATCACTTCCCGTGGTAATGTTTCGATGAATTGATCGATTGTGTTAAGAATTTTCTTTCGGCCTAGAGCGGTCCAGCACCATAGTTCTAGTTTTTGCTTGCCTTTGGTAATCGTCTTCGGTTGACTGCAATGACACCAATTAATTTGTTTAATTGAAATTAGTTGAATTTCAGAGATAAATGTTCGATAAACTCACTTATGATAATAGAGTACAGGAAGTTTATCGTTGGCTTTTGTTAATTGTAAATGCAAATCGATGAATAAATATCCTTGACTGTAGGTGTCCATCAAGAATTGATTGAACAACAATAGCGTCTGGTAAATGACTTTGTAGTTTGGTTTGCCGGTGTTTATTCGAATGTTTGGCACAGTAGTGATGATTACATCCAGACCAATTGTAGTAATCGCTTTGATCAAGCGTGCATATTCTGCCATAATAGTGATGATATTTCGTTCAAGAAGGATGTCAATTGCACCCACATTGACGATTATATACTGATATTTGGCTCGAAAATTGTACTGCTTATCCAAAACCAAACTATACGCTTCTCCCACTGTTTGACCAGAGAAGCAATAGCTCAATTTCTTTTCTGTAAAATCATTTGAAAATAAAAATCATATTCGTTTGTGATCGATTTTCTATGTCAAAGAGTTATTTGTGTAAAACTGTAAATTAAAACTAACCATTATTATCGACAAAATCAAAACCATGTAACTCGTATCCGAGCATCGAACGCATGAAATCGTCTCCAATCACGCCGATGACTGGTGGAAATACATTTTCGCCAATTGTCAGATTTGACATAATCGATTCCATTTGATTAAAATCGGGCTTTCCGTTGATTCGGCATTGTTTCGAAAACTCTCTACAATCAAACGGAACAAGATCAACCATTCTGAATTTTATATATAAAGAAAATGTCGACCTAGAGAAAAGTCTACTCACTGTTGTAGTTGTTTGTTTGCGGTTTCTTTAATCGGTGCGACATAATCGTTGCCATCGGCATCGTCGTGTATCGAAATGGAATTTTCAATTTCGGTTGATGTTATCTTCTTATCTATTAAATTTGGTCCATTGTTACGATTATGAATATGAAGATTCTGTTCGTTGAGGAGCAAACCGTTTTCGGGTAACAATCTTGGTCGCTTGTTATTATCATTGTTATTTCGATCTTGTGATAAATTTCGTTTACGATTCTTGTCATTCCCATTCTCAATGGGTTCAATGTGCAATAAATCGGACGATGTTGCTGAAACGTGTTGAGCATGTGTTTCGCTCACAAATGATGAGTTTGCCATTCGTCGTTGCGCTGCCGGAATAGCGTAGCTGTTATTGTTTGTCATTGCTGCATGTGAGTTTGTTGTATTTGCAACCGTTGAGTCTTCAATTACAATGACATTGTTGTTGGAATCAAATTCACGTGAATTCATGCTGCTTCCAATGTCATCGATCCACCAAATGCATAAGCCGGACTCTTGTTTTTCCATCATTAAGCCATCGATTTCCATGAGATATTGAACGATTTTATCTGTTTTCATGCGATACAATGGCCATTTTTCACCAACGATTTTAAAATAGTCGGCTCGCATTTCACAAATTGTTGCACCCTCCTCACCACGTGTCATTACAATGCCACGCAAAATCATATCTAATTCCAAATTGTGATGACGCATTTTCTTGTTCCTTTTTTTGTACTTACAAATATATATTTTTTTAACAATAAGATTGTTTTCGTTTTGTTCTAAATATATGACGATAAAATGATGTAGAAAAAAAATCAAAGACAAAACAGTGATACAAATATAAAACACGTGTGATACGATTGTGAGTCTGTGATTAAGTAAGGTACAAAAGTGCAGCGCATTCCTTATTGTGCCGAAGCCGTTAAGGTGGTGTTCAACGCAATTGACATACATTTGATTTCAATGCACTATTGGCAACACGAATTCACTGCAAACTCACAGCGAACAACTACGGATGACACATATACATAGATATTTGTCGCGTAAATACGATATACGTGTTGTCAGCTGTCAAAAGTCGAATTGGAAACAATAATAAAAGACACAGGCTATTTATAATTCGATTTTTTTAGTTATCTCATCTCCAGGGTAACCAAAACTACACAAATAAATAAAATGTATTTGCTGTGAACGATTCTAGTCATTATATTTCCTAACTAGTTTTTTTTTTTTGTGAATAAGTAGTACACGCACGCAAAATGTTAGCAATTTTTTCATTTCTCTACGCTTATGCACGACCATTTATCAAATGGTTTTTACGACATTTTACTCGACTGTGTGAATTGCAGCGAATCTGTTACGGTTTTGAATCAGGTAGAGAATGAATTAAGTTTTGTTTAGAAAATTGGCCGATGAATTAAAATGTTTTTTTTTTATCTTGTCAGGTGCACCACGAAAAAAGAGCATCGAGCAATCATTGGAACTATCTCGACAAAAAAAAATCAAAGACGTTATCGATCGATTAAATAAAAGCATTGAGAGTGATGTAATAGCAGAGGAATTTTATGATCAACATATTCCACATGCGGTGTCCATCATATTGAAAGTGAAAAAAATTAAACCGAAAATTCATCCGGATTTTGGTCCAAATTTAGAAGTTTGCATCAAAAGCATATGGAGCTATCGTCGTTTGCTGTACGATATTGAGGATATACGTGCAACACCGTTTGATAATGCACATCATGAAGAGAAACTATTGAAATTGTGGCGTTTATTGATGCCAACGGAACCACTTGAAAGCCGTATCACGAAACAATGGCAGAACATTGGATTTCAAGGCGACGATCCGGCAACGGATTTCAGAGGTAAAATCAATGTAAACCCAACATAATTTTAAAATGACACAATATGCATTTTTATAGGAATGGGTTTGCTTGGATTGGAAAATCTTCTATACTTTGCCGAAGAGTATACAATGGCTGCACGTCACGTTCTATCGCATTCTTTCCATCCTATTCATGGCTATACATTTGCCATAGTTGGTATAAATCTTACATCAATGGCATTTTCATTAGTTCAAGACGGTCCAGCAAAAACGCATCTTTACAATTTAAAAACGAATCAGCTTAGTGTAAAGCATTTTCATCGTTTATATTGCTATTTATTCTACGAATTTGATAAATTTTGGGTGGAATGTAAGCCAACAAGTTTAATGGATTTTTCAAATATATACGCTAGATTTTTGGACGATATTTTACAGCAATTAGGTGATGATCGAACGGTTTTTAACTTGAAACAAGTATTTAATATTTAATTGAAAGCTGCGACTTTTTTTTAATTTAATATATGAGATCAAAGTGTTACTTATTATACATCTCTAAGCTATATTTATTTTCGTTTGTGAGTGATTAAAAATAAAATTCATTTTAACGAAAAAAAACTGAAATTTTCATTCGCATAGCCTTTGTACATTGATTTTTCTACATGGTCACAAATGTTGAGGTTATGTTTAACTTCTTTTTTACGTAAACGAATTCAGTGCTGTCACGAATTACGTCGTATGATTTGACGGCGAACAAAAACATTCGAGAAGAAGAAGAGGCAAACAAAATACTACGGTGTCTCAATGAATATTTGAATCGCCTGATTTTAGTGCGATTCTCAATTGTACAATAATAAATAAAATACCAATTGAATGGCAAATTATCAATTTTGAAAATCGTCTTAAAGTACACAATCATTTGAGAAATAACATTTGATTAAAGCACATCAATTCTAACGATATTCCATTGTTTTAGAATAATTTTTGTTTTATTCGTTTTATACCGTGCAAATAGTGTGTGTTTTTGAAATAGACAAAAATATAAAATCCATTCACAATGTCAACGGCAACAGCAAGTCGTTTGGACAAAATCTATCGCAAGATGCTGATAACGCGATTTTTCGAAAAAGGTTGGGGTAAAGCCGAAAATTTACGTAGGTAAGAAAAGGTCATTTTGCACCCATATTACTGGTGCGAAAGAGATAGCAAAAAAAATCATACGATTGTTGTTTACAAAAATCACTTACGCCAATGTCATTAGGAATAGAATGAATAAATAGCACATTTGTGATAAACAAATAATAAATCCCAGTTGAATGCTTACATCTTGCATTCAATCACAATTTTTTTGTCAAATATATCGATGCAAGAAATTTAAGTATCGAAAACATGATACGATTATATAATCCAAATTAACAAAACTTGTTGTTGTAATTTCCAATCAATTGTAATCGATATAATTGTTGAAAATTAATAATTTATTTTGATCCATTTTCAGACTGTTTGAATTCCGAAAATTCGTTTCAAATCGCGACACATGCTATAATCTAATTCCAAGAGACTATCCAGTGCAAATAACCAGGGTATGACTGATCATTTATAAAAATACGTTGATAAAGTACAACAACATCTGTCAATTTATCTGTTGCTTTCGCGTACAGGAAGAAAAAACATCCGATGCTCTACTGATCGATGGCGAATTTTTGTCACCAATGGAACTTTTCTTACCAGGTGTTGTCCCGCCAGAATCACGAAAATCGTATTTTCAACTCGTTTTACCATTGAAATGGGAAAATGAAAAGTACAAACCGATGTGTGTTCATTTTGCTGGCACCGGTGATCACGTAAGCATGACAAAAATTCAACTCAAATGATTGTGAATGAATTGTGTTTTTAGTTCTTTTGGCGAAGACGAAATTTTCTAGCAAAGCCATTACTGCGTGAAGGTGGAATTGGAGCAATTTTACTTGAAAATCCATTTTATGGGCTACGCAAACCAAAAGAACAAACGTAAGAAGTGATTTTTATCGATCAACAATTATTTTAATTTGAATGACTTCTTTTCTTCCGGTAGCCGTTCCAATTTGCAGCACGTGAGTGATATTTTTGTAATGGGTGGGAGTCTAATACTCGAAAGTTTAGTTTTGTTTCATTTCTGTGAAAGAAATGGACTGGGACCCCTTGGGGTGAGCGGGCTATCAATGGGAGGCCATGTAAGTTTAATTGAAATTCAAATAAAAATTGAAACTATTGTTCTAACAACGACATTCATTCCTGATTCAGATGGCCTCGTTGGCAGCTACAAATTGGCCTAAACCATTAGTATTAGTACCTTGTTTATCCTGGAGTACAGCAGCAGCGGTTTTCACACAGGTTTTCACTTATTTATTTTATCCAAGGATAAGCAACTTTTTACCATCAATTTTTGTTTCTTCTTCCAACAAACACACAGGGCGTGATGTCTGAGTCAATAAATTGGTGTGAATTAGAAAGTCAATTTTTTTCATCGAGTGTGTTCCGAAAAAAGTTGGCCAAAATGGTGAATGTTGTCGACGGGCAGGACGAAGCATTTATGGCTGGTCGACGTTTTGTAAAAAATTATGATAATACAAATGAAAATTTAGACAATGACCTTAAAGCAATTGCAACCAATATCAGTTACCAATCAGATATATTGTCAGTTTCATCAAATGCATCGGATAGAATTAGTGAGATTTATCGAAAAATTGAAGAATTAAATACGCAAGGTCAATTGTTGAATGTAAACGACAGTGCGGCGGACGATGATGATGATAGTGCACACGATGAAATGACTAGATTGAAATTGGATCCAATTGATACGACAAAAATAAAATGGTGGGAACGAGAAGCGTTACAGTTTATGCGTGGAATGATGGACGAATGTACACATTTGAAAAATTTCTCAGTGCCTTATGATACGTCATTAATAACAGCGGTTTGTGCAAAAGATGATGCTTACGTTCCGCGCGACGGATGTAGTAGTTTGGAGGACATTTGGCCCGGAGCTGAAATCAAATACTTAGATGCGGGCCATGTCAGCGCTTATGTTCTCTATCAAAAGTTAATACGGTGAATTTCAATCGAATTTCCAAATCAAAATCTATTTTGTTTCCTTTCAACTAATCCAAAATATGAAAATTTTCAAATCAACAGTTCAAGCATCATCGAAAGATTTGAAAAAGCCAAAGAAAAATATCAATACTATAGAAAACCAATTCCCCCAGACACAACCATGCCAACATTGCAAAAGAGATGGCGATCATCAATTTCAATTAAGGCAATCCAATCAGTACAAAATCAAAGAAGTGCAGCCGATGATGAAGCTGATAAACTTGCAACATCGAATGCAAACTAATTGTATATATAATAAATAATATTTGTTCACATTTTCATCTCACATTTTGATTTGGAAAAATAAAATTTTATACCATTAAAATGACAATATAACTTTTAGAATCTTACCTCCTCGAATAGCGTGAAAAATGCCAATTTCCGTATTTTATTTTAATAAAAAGAAAAGAAAAGAAATCCGAAGTATTTCACTTATTTCAAACACTAAATAGTTTTATTTGTAAAAATATATGATTTGTGTTTGTTTTGCAATACTAGCCTTGTCAATTTTGAGAATGGGCGCAACATTGTGTGGATTATGTTCTTTTTTAATTTGTCGATTCAGTACAATATAATACATATAATAATTCATTCATTCAGTTATTCATTCAGCAAAGCAATCTCACTTGAACATACTGTATACATACATACACGAAAAAAACAAGGTAAAGAAGTGTTAACTTGATCATGCATTAAATGCAATATGTTTGAATTTTTTTCTTAATTTCTATGTCAAAATATAGTTGAGAAAGCGTATTTTGATGAATGGGCTTCAATTGCTCAAAAATCTTATCGATTCTGAGCGATTGAATACAACACTAATTTCTAATTGTTCGCTTATAGAATTTCATTTTTTTTCCATATTTTGTGTATGTGTGTAATGGGCGTGTTTCTTATTACCTAAATTATTTTTTCACAAATAAGTTAATACAATTTGCAGTACCAGCTACAGGAAACATTTTAACACAAATGAATTGTAGGTTCGTTTATAGGATTTGTTTTTTTTTTGCTTTGTTTTGTGAAACGATAAAATTCATTTTGTATTCAATAACATATAGGTTGAAACATTTCGGGCAACCAGTGTACATCAAATACTTAATCAATATCAATCGAAATTGTTTCCAATTCTTGACATAAAACGGAATGGAAATGGAAGACATGAATGACAATTACATCGATAAAAAAAAATACTTTCATGTGTCTATGCGAAAATACACTCGGAATGGAATGTGCGGAGAGGATGAAAATTCGATGTTCTCTTCAATAAGAATAGAAGATACACATGGTTTTAGACATTTTTCATTGCTTCTTTTAGTTTCGTGGAAACATGGCCAAAATTGCGGCGCAAATATTTTGTGGATTTGTTTCGGTTGGATACATATTCATAACGCAACACACTTGCTCTTCTGGAAAGATACTCGATAAATGATATTGTATGTGTAGTCGATTTGCTTGAGTTGCATTCGGTGGTGGTTGTGTTGTTTGCGCTGGTGACGGCACAGTCATTGAATTTTGTGACCATGACAAAATGTCGCCCGGTGGAATTTGTGTTTGACCATTGTTTTGCCAGGGGTTCGAGGTTCGTGAAGAATCTGGCGCTGATGCGATTCGAGTTACATTCTATTTAAAATCAACAAGAAAAAAGAAAAACGTATTAAATCCAAGAAAAAGAGAGAAATAGGAAAACACAAAATTGTGAAATTTCTATGTAATAAACTAACCTGATGCAAATCCCAATGGTTTGTTATATGCGTTCGGGGACCGCTGCGTGATGGAGCCAATTGGCGATGTCCAGTGTGTTGCATTAATTGTGTCGGTTCTTGTTGCATATGTGATTCTGGATGTGAATGTTTCGCTTGTATGGCATTATGCATTCGAAGTAATCGTGGATCGTAAGCGTTTGGATTGAGTGATAGTTGTCGTTGTAATTTTTGATGCATATTGCCATCGTTTCGTTTATCATGCATCGTCGATTGATTCGAACCGGTTGAAGTGGACGATGATAAAACATTGCCATGTGTGCTATAGTGTAAAATGGGTCGAATGGATTGCGATTGCGGTGATTGTGATGTATGAATTGTTGTTGACGGTCCAACTCCATATAGACTATGATGTGAATTACCAATAGATTGATGTTGCACTTGGTTGGAATGCAGTTCGGGTGCTAAATTCTCTAATTTACATGATTCTGAAAATGCAGTCACAATATCAATGTGTTCATTGTCCGCACCCAACGTATTGCCAAATGATGTTTTATTCGGATTTGGTATGCGTTGTTTGTGCGTCGATTCTTGACAATTTGATAGATTACAACCATCATGTACACAAGATCGAGTTCTTGCTGAAAGTACCAGAGAAATGGAATAAAATCAATAAATATAATTCATAATTTTAAACGCTTTAAGCTATACATACCTAATGGTTTCCGACGATCATTCATTTCTGATGTATTGGTGCTTAATGGTACACTAAGCGATTTACCGCACACCGTTTTCGAACTGCCATCAGAATTGCGGGCTGACAAGTGACGTGCAGCATGCTCTGATAAACGTTCGGTCACTGATTTATGTGGTCCAAATCCACGTTCTGGATGATAAAATTTACATTTATTTCCATACGTACATTTTTTACCATACGGACACTGTGGCTGTGGGTCACTTTTTCTGCAAAGAGAATACATATGATTAAATTTGCTTGCTGATTCCACTAAATTTGAAATTTAAAAAAAAATCGAACTTACTTCGGTTGCATGCGAAGAAAATTGTTTAAAGTGGGACCAGATCTGCCCAGCGGATCATCCGGTGGCATGAATCGATCGGCCACAAATGAATACATCAAAAGACGTTCATCAACAACTTTTTTATATTCCAAATTTTCATTTGCCAAATCACGGTAGTTGTCATTCGACACGACAACACCATCACTTTCTGCCGCCAACTGAAATTCAATTTTAAAATATACATTATTACATGACTATCAATTCAATTCGAATAAAAACTTTTATGGACGTGAGTTTTTTTTTACCTTTAAAATATATCGATCATCGTAGCATACGGTACGTTTGCCTCCAACAAAACGTGACGGCGTATAGACGAGCATTCGTTCTTTTTCCAGTTCGAAAAGTAGTTCTTGGTCTTTGATTGGATTATCGGGCCGTGGATTTTCTTTTCGAAATTTCGGAACAAACACTGTAATTTCTTTATGTCCACGATTTAAAAACCAGTCGACACACAGGCGTATTCCAAGACATGAAAATACTTCTTTGTTCCCGTGACAGTATGCAACATTACTGCCATCGATAACAATGGGTCGTAAGCCAGTTTGTGTGGTGATGATTTCATTTTTTCCATTGCTCGAGTTGATTGCATTACAGCTATTTCCGGCTGCTTCGGTTCCGTTGAGCGGAGCATTTTGTGAATCGCACAAATCCGATTTGTTGCCTTGTTGTGCGCCTAATTTTATCAATTCGGCTAATAGTTCATTTTGTGCTGGATCCACAAGTCGAGCTAATGCTGCCTGTACTAATTTCTCTGTGTATCCTAATTTCAGTGCAAATTCAACGCGTTGCGTATAACTCGGCGATGGATCAATTTTCTTTGTGACTGTTTGTTGTGGTTGACTAACATATTCGGCAAATTCTTGGCCAAGCGTATCGCTTGTCGTTCGCGACACTTGCTCATGATTACTGTCTACATCGCACTCTGAATCATAGCTGGAATCCTCGCCTTCTGTCACTGCCAATGAATCCATGTAAGTCTACAAATCCGAACACGAAATACAAAACAATTATTTTAAATTCAATCATCCCGTTCAATAAATAAGCAGAAAAAAAGAACAATCTTTTGAACACAATACATACATTCGACATATTTTCTTATAAAAATTCAATATATTCAACGTCGACGATGTGAATTGTGCAAACGAATAGAATAAATATCGCACGTAGAAGAAATGCATGAAATAAAAATGCAAACAAAATGGATTGTGTGCACGATTTATGGCAAGCTCAAGTAAATCGGTACGATTGTGTGTACTACTTATTAGAGTGTATTGCATTTAAAGCCATGTCTTTGGCCGTATTGCTTTGGATTATCCGGTTTGAATCATGGTCGCTAACAATATCAACAACAACAAAATGCCAAGCAACAGTAACGAAGCACAAGCATATCACACGACGGCGCTCGGCACGGATTGCATACACAAAACGGAGATGACAGTAAATTCAATATACACATCAGATTCAACGTTGTGTAGCACATTATTATACTGTTGCGTTGCTGTTTATTTTGTTATTATTGCTTTTGTTGTTGGACTTTCATCGACGTCATTGTTACGAATACTTTGTACACGAACAGAAATTGTAGCACATCGAAACGATCGAAACGCATATGATGCAAACACAAATCTGAAAAACCCCTTTCACTCAAATATTATTATTATATACCATATCAAACTGAAACGAAGTGCTTGGGTTTTTGTAGCATTGATATGAGCTACATGCTATTGCAGTTTTCACGGTAATTATATTTAAATTTATTCATATCTGCGTTTGTTTTCATCTTTGTGACTCTCTCTCTCTCTCTTTTTCAATTTGCTTTTGTGGTTTTCTCATTTCGTGTTTGCTTTTATACGTATACATTATTCAAATTGTTGTTGTCTCTGCATCTGTTTCAACATCATTCGTATCGAACTGTAAGGTCCGTCTTTTTTTCGAAAATGCGGATGTTGTTCTTTTTGGGGAAATTTGTCGATACGATAGAAAGCAGCGCAATGAAATTTTTGTGTGAACTCAACATGCATTTCATTCATGCCGACAACGACGACAACGATGGATAGGCCTTTCTATTTGATTGTATTTATTTTATGAGTTTCTCGTGTACAATTAACAAGTTTATTGCCATTAAGTACAATTTTCGTATTGACCTATATTAGTCGGATGTGATACATTTTAATGGCATGGATTCGACAGTGTGAGTGTGTGTGTGTGCATGCATTCGCATTATAAATTTAAATGAAAATGCAGTGCCACTTTTATTTAATAATAACATTATATTGGATTAGCACCGATTTCGATAATTGATCATCGTTTACATCCGGTATAGGTTTACCTAGGTAGATATGTTGTTGTGTCAAGCACACAGATAATCGAATAAAGAGTTAAACTTATTGAATGCCAGAGAGCTTTAGCTGTTAAATGCTCATGACGTACACATGACCTATACGAACATTATATATTATTAAGATGTTGTATTGATATGTGAACGACTGCTAGTTGGTTAGCTACGGCTTTGATACATCCTGTTCGATAAATCAATGCCTTAAGTATGCTTCGATAAGAAGTGAACCACTGGCGAGACGACAATAAAATGAGAAAAAGAGGGAGAGAGAATCAGAAATTTAAAAAAAAACTGACATAAAAGCGTACCAAAATACTTATGAAAAAAAGCGCAGTACATTTGCCATTCTTATGTTTGCTGTTTTTTGGGTTGTGGTTTCGTAGTTCGTTTATGTGCGCAGTTTTTTTTTTTTTGTAAAATCGCACACGTATTTTTATGGAAACTTATTCAAATAGAAGTTGGTATGCATAGTGAAAACGTTCTTATGGTATTTTCACTTTTAAGCTTGGGTCTTAATTACAAAACATACAAAAGAGAGAAAAAAGAATCTGTCCGTGCTACAAAATCATTTGAAGTTGCATGGTTTCGTGGTTTTGATTTTTTTTCTTTTTTAAATATGCGGGAAATGGGCTTTTTAAAATCCCATTAAACTTGTTTGAAGATGAAAAAAATGTATTCTATTTTTAGAGTATCACACGTGTTAATTATATTTAATTGCAAATCAGTGACATCGAAAATAAAAACAACATAATTTATCGCTTCTAATTTTAGCCAGACTATTTATATTTTCGAGATAACGATCAGCATGTCAGTGACACACACTATAGTGATTGATAAAATCGATGGCGTAAATTATGTGTGTTTATATGCAAAAAAAAATCGCATATTTGTCGACATTACGTTTCAGCAAATAGTTTAAATCTTTTTATAAAGTCTATGGCCGTGCTTCATATACGATATGATCGAATTATGAGCGAAAAATTAAAGTTTATTTTTTGCCTATCTCTAGCTCGTTCAATGTGAAGATTTTTGTTTCTAATAGCAACAACAGACGAGTATTAATGAACCGAAGCCGTGCTGCCATTTGCGATGCATGGGGGGTCACAAAATAAACCGATAGACACATGAAGAGAGCGAGCTCATGAAAGCGTACGCTATGTATTTTTTTGTGAAAATAAGCACATTTTATGGGAACGCACAATATATTGTGGTGTGTCAATAATTATAAGGTTACCTACGTTGAAAAGCAACACGGATGTAATAATAATAGCCATGTATTATGTTTAGATATTGACGTAGGTTGTCTATGGTGTGAACGCTTGATTTGCTGCTTCTTCATGCTTTTTTCACTTCGATAAAAAAAATTTGAGCAATCTTTTCTAGCATGTGCACGTGTATCGCATTCTATTGATCATTCTCTCTTTGATAAATCAAGCTATTTAATTTGACGATGTGTTTTTTTCTTCTCTTCTTTCATTTAATATTCAGATTATGACATCCAAATTGTATTTTTATAATGAAGATGAGACGTGAGAGTGAGAGATGAAGAAAGAGAACGAGAAAGAAGAAGACTTTTATTAAAATTGTCGTCGAGCCAAAACTCAATAAGAACCATCATCTCGTTTTCTGCATAAATTAACGTATGGATTTAAATGGGGTCTAAATTTAAAAGGATCGAGTACTATCTGTCAAAATATTTCCCCCTATGCCAAGCGAAATTAATTCGATATACGGCGCTGATGTAAATGTCACTCTGTCATTTCACAATAATACTTTTTTGGCTTAACAATATATAAGCTCTTCATTTAAAATGCATACACATTCATAATTATTGAATCGTTGAAAAAAAAACATGTCATAAAATATTTTTCTAACATTTTTCATTAAAAAATTTATTAAAATTTTTTTTTTATAAAAAAATTAATTTGTTTATAAATTACAATAATTTCAACAAAAAATGTTTCATCGATTAAATAAGAATCTAATGTAAATAGTAATGACAATGCGACACCTACCGTAAAAATGCAAAAAGAAACTTAGTTGGTATCCATTGTAGCATTTTTGTCCACCATGACAGCATCTTCGTTTTACTTGACCAATCACAGAGAAGCAAAACGAAGATGCTGTTATGGCGGACCAAAATGTTACAATTCCAAATAAGTTTCCTTTTCTATTTTAACGGTAGGTGTCGCATAGGTATTACTTTTTACATTAGATTCTTGTTCAATCTATGAAAAAAAAAAAATTGAAATTATTGTTATTTTTAAACAAATAAATTTAAAATATAGAGAACTTTTATGATAAACGTAAGAAGAATATTTTAACATATGATATGTTTCTTTTTTTTACTCGACCGTTCAAAAATTATGCATGTTGAATGAAGAGCTTATATATTGTCAAGCCAAAAAATGTATCATTGTGGAATGACATAGAGTGACATTTAAATCAGCGCCGTATATCGGATTTATTTCGCTTAGCAAAGGGGGAAACGTCGTACTCGCTCCTTTGCCCTTTTTCGATCAAAGCCAATAACAGCGTGATGAATGAATAAATCTATGAATGAACAAATGGAGAGAGAGAAAGAGAGAGAGAAATCTTTGGGATCAGAGATATTGAGACAATATCGTGACGTCAATATACACATGTAACCCATAGATGGTGAAAGATTATAAATATCCCGTTCTATTCGAACAACATATCATTTTTATATACCGATGTTCTATTATTATATCGTTTGCAAGCCATTTATTTTTGCGTCATGTTTCTCACCCATTTTTTTCACCCAACCCATTCAAATTTGACGATAAAAAAAAAGCAACACAACAGTGGCCATTATCTCTTTCAACACTACTATTTTCATCATTATTATCTCATTCGATCATTTTAACAAATTGCAATCGAACCAAAATCTATTTGGCACATTGCATTTGAAACACAAACGGTAGAAATTCAAATCAATACGAAATCTATCTGCAATTTAATAAAATGATTTTACAGAATCACTTTTCATTGGTCATTTAAAAAAAACATTTGAATGATGCAATCTTCGAAACTTCCGTTTCATCTCATTCTTTTTCTTCTAAAATTCGCCAAGCGATCGATTAATGGTGTTAATTTAGCACATCATTATTTAATGAAAATTTATCTACCTTGAAATTATTTGTTGAAATATTACCACTAGAGTCACTGCCGTAATTCTCTTTAATCATTTTAAATATATATATTGTAATTTGATTTGCTACTTTATTCCAACTTATTCTTGTTTACGTTGTATAATCACTTTCGTTCCGGAATGGTTCTAATTTATTTTCATTTCTCAGAATGTTGATTAAACTCATTTGCAAACATTAGTCACAGTTAAAAAAAAAATCTGGTTCTTTTTGGAAATTCTCTTTTTTTGGGCATGTTTTTTTAAAATCCATCAATTAAAACTGAAACAACAAATCGCAATGTGAATTTCAACTAAATAAAACAATGAGCGTACACACTCAGCACAAATAAAGGTCGCAATGTGAAATATGTATAACCGGATCAACGAAAAAAGGCGATGTGTGACACTTTGCTGTTGAAACGAAACTCATCGAAATTCAACATTTTGAAAACAGAAATACTGGTAAAATCTGTTTATCTTGGTGAAGTTATATTTTTTCTCGTCTGGATATATGCATGGCACAACGATGGAAAAAAGAGATACATTGCCTCGCTTCATCGTGGCGATGAATAAAAACGAATATACGTGAGATAGAAGCGGGGAAATAGTGACGAAACACAAAAACCCATCACAGCACTCTCTCCATCTCACAGATATGTATAACATAAAAACAAAACACACAATCAAGCACAAACACCATCACTTTATCAAGCACACCAACAACCGACTGCAACGAAAGAAAGAGAGCAAGCTCATAATGGTCATGGAAGAAATAAAAAAGCAATGCATGAATCAACAGAGAAAGAAGGAGGAAAAAAAACTTAACAACTAAAACAAATATGATAAAACCATCGCACTAACGAAAACTACTAAACGGAGACAAGTTAAATATAACGCAAATCAAGTTCATGTACCAGCATTACGAAAGACGACGCTTTCGAACTATTTTTTTCTTTCTTTTTCTTTTGTTGAACTAGTGTTCGATATTCACACATTTACAACACAACAAAAACAACGCATTCACTTGTGCTGTGCCATTGCTGTTGCCATTATCGTCACTTTTGCATGTGTTTACACACGTACAATAGGTAGAGAGAGAGAAAAAAACACACCAACAACAAGCAAATATTTGTGTGTATTGTAGCGCACGTGAAAGCGCTGATAGAGGACAAAGCGAAATTTTTTTAGATCCGGTATCGAATCGATGGAACGCCGCTGCTTTTAATGCTATTATGCATTGATGGCAACCAAATGTTCATTCTATATACATTAACATCCGGATGGCATTTTTGAACACGAATCATGAGAACCAAAGTGGTTCATGGTGAAAAAAAAGAGTTTCTTTTTTAGAAATGCGGAAAACACAAATCAATTTGGGTTGCGAAACAATCACTTGGTTTTTTTTTCGATTGCAAGTAAATTAGAATAATTATTATTAGAATAATTTACGTTGTATTCAAATGGATTTTTCGCACTTCACAGATGAAAAGAGAAATGTTGACTTTCTTTTGCAGTGTCCAAAGTTATAATTGATTTTCCGTTTTTTAAAGAAACGCATTTCACATGGTTTTTTATATATTTCACTCCAAATGCAAACACACACAGCTTTAAAATTGTACATTGGGGATTTTATCCACTTACCTGAAGGAATTTTGTCGAATTTTTCCGGATTTGTTTACACTTGTATACAATATTTGTTTTTTTGTTTGTCGACGCAAAACTAAATTGCGAAATTTTCTTATTGACATATTCCACTGTCAATTGCATTGTTCAGCTGTCAGTTCCAGATGTTTTTTCACAATGTGTCTATTACAGCAGAGGGCATTTTATCGAATTTTATTGCAATCTATAGCGCCATCTATTGAACATAATTTGAATGGTTTTTATTTATTTATCGTGAATGTGATAACGGCAACTGTAAGCGACTGAGTGCATGCATATTTGTGCAAAGATTCAATTGTGCTCTGACATGTGTTCTAGCATTTAGAATTTTGCATCATTACATCATAAATGCGAACCAGTAGGATGATTTTTTATGAGTATGAACAGCACGGAGGAAGTACACTGTGAGGCTAGACGATAAGCTTTAGTTGTTGTTGGTTGGTTTTTTATTTGCTATAATTTTATGCTTCATTTCTCGTTTTTATGCGAGTAATAATATTTTTTTTATGTTTTATCTCTTATAAATACCAACTGAAATTGATATAACGTCTACGTAAATTTCCAAACTTTTATTGCGTTTTGAAAGCTTACGGAGTGCTATACGAGTGATTTCTTATTATTTTGTTTTTATTTCACGTAGTTATTACGTTTTGAAAATGTATTTGAGTGATTTATTTGTGATTGTTTGTCTATTAACTTCAATTAATGTGTGTTTGGGTTATATTGAAAACAAAGAAAATGAATTGGGAAGTGAACCACGGATTGTTGTAATTGAAACGTATGTGAATGTGCATGATTTTAGTTGAAATCAGAGCAATGTCAGTTTTTTTTCGACAAATTTCTTATTTTATATTTTAGGCAGAGCCATAACGTTTCCAGAATTGAGACTTATTATGAAAAAAAGCAGAATCATCAAAGGTGTCCAAAAAATCCCAACGGAATATGTTTGATTCAAACTCTTGAAAAAAAAGAGCGCATCGTATGGAGAATCGAGAATAAGACAATGCCAATTTATAGGTGCCGTGATGGTTACAAATTGCACGATGACTTTTGCTTGCCCAATTGTACTTGTGCGAATGGTATTTGCATATCGCCCCAGCAATGTAAATGTTCCAAAGGATACGAAAACGATAAGAATGAGTATGGTTTAAAATGCGAACAAAAAAACGCAATTATTATCTCATGTTAAAAAAACGTGATATAATTATAATCATAATTGAATGAATTATTCATTTCCATGTTATTAAATGTGTGTTGGTGTAAGTGTAAAACTTTTTTGTGTTTTTACAGTCCACTCAAATGTAGTCCGGTGTGCGATGAATGTGTGCACGGTGAGTGCATTTCACCAAATTATTGCAGCTGCTCTGATGGTTATCAATGGAATGGCGGCCAAACTAATAAGTGCATTCCAATTTGTTTTACAAATTATTATTTCAATGATACTCTTGAATTGTGCATGCCAAAGTGTGAACCGCCGTGTATTTTTGGTGAATGCATTGGACCAAATGAATGCAAATGCATTGACAATTATCAACTTGAACAAGGATCGACCAACGAATGCAAACCAATCTGTAATCCCAAATGCGTAAATGGTATTTGTATTGACGGTGCCCAATTTAAAAATGGATCGTCCAAAGAATGTGATCAACATTCTGAAAATGGAAAATATGTTTCAACAAACGAATGTAAATGCCTTAATGGCTATCAATTTAAAAATGCTTCGTTTACGGATTGTGAGCCGAAATGCAAGGAGATTTGTGTAAACGGTAAATGTATTGAACCCGACAAATGTGAATGCAATGATGGTTATCAGTTTAAAAGTGAGTCAACGAATCTATGCGAACCGATTTGTGAACCGGAATGTGCGAACGGAAAATGTATCAAACCGAATGTGTGCGAATGCAATGATAATTATGAAAAATCCAGCAACCAAAGTGCTACGAACATATGCTGTCCAATATGTGGCTTTGAATTTGGGAAAGATTGTGCAAGCACCAACTGTATCATTGACTATTGTGAGTGCGCCGAAAACCTTGAGTTCATCAGAAAAGACGATACAACAATTACCGAATATATAGTCGATTCAACCACTGACACTTCGACTACAGAACAATCAACTTCTAATTTACTCAATGAAATTGTTTCGACTGAGTCAACTGACGATGATGAATACACTATGCCTTTAGATGTTGAAAAACCAGTTAAAGCAGTTTTTAATTGGTTAGTCAATCAATGTAAACGATTTTCTAAGTGATACTCTTGTCTAATAATTTCATTCCAACATTTGCACTTTAGGTGGAGTATTGTGGTTGCCCTTTCGGTGATTATGATGATTATTTTATTTGGCTTTGGCTTTTACAAAAATCGTAAAATAGACTATAATATGGGAGATGACACACAAGGTTTGAAATGCATTTTTTATTTGTGCTTTTTTCCCTTCATTTCTTTTTTGTGTAATTTTTTAAAATCTTCTTTTTTTCAGCTTCAATCCATTATTGGAAAAATCCCTGATGTTATATTTCTCCATGTATTTTGCAATAATTCATTTCAATAAATGACTTGTTTATCCATAAAAGAAAATTCAAAGAGAGTTTATTATTGCTTTTTAATAATACGCTTTTAATTTGTTGATGAGTTCGGCAGAATGTATGCATATATCCTGGAAAATGTGTAAACTCAAATTATAACCGTTTCAGGCTATTTGGTGTTTCAAAAATCGATATCCGATTAATATAATGCGAAAATAACGCGTCAACTTTGTTTCCGCGATACGTTCATCTTAAATGCAATAACAGTATATCATATTCGCAAATGAATTCGAATTCATGTTATGAATTCAATAATTATATCGATAATATATCCGAGATTTGTCGTACGACTCTATCAAATGTTGTAAATAATATTAATGGTAATCGATAGAGACATAGGCATGCATATGCATACACATGAATACGATGTCAAATGAATAAACAACATTTGCATATGGTTGCGTTTTGATTTTGCGAAACTGTCATGTTGTGTCATTAATTTCATTTGGAAATGTGGGTCATTGGCCCAAACATTTGAATTCCGCATAGTGTACATTTTTCCATCTTCCGATAACAACCCTACCAAATATAATTGAGTCGTAGTTATTTTGAATGTCGAAATGTGCTTGAATCAAACGACAGACAAATGTGATTAATGAAAGAACTTATACAAAATGCCTTGACATTATGCTACAATACATTGATTGTAGACCATAGCAGGCAGACAAAAGCTGGCATTGATGAAGTGAAGTTAACCCGAGCGCAGTTGTGCGAGGCATCAAGACAAATTCAATATAAGGATTGGGTATAGTTGTGACAAATATTGAAATGTTAACATTCTTCGGTGTAAACAAGAAGACAGTTTTAAACAGTGATTATGATAATGGATTCTGAAGTCCATCGGGACTGAATTCAAAAGTTTACGCTTGAATTGAGTTGTTCAAAACCGAGGACATGCATTCGAATACATATGTATGCCAATTCACATACACAACAGTGACCACAACACATACATGTATGCAAAGAATACAATACCAACTGCTGTGTTAACTACATGAGATGCAGCTGATTTTCCCGTTTATTTGCTCTGTACTACATTAATTCACTACTCGAAAAATAAACTCTCTGCAAACCATTTTTTGGTAAACATTTTATTACTAAAAAAAATCGATAAATAAGTTTCATGACCAGAGAATGAAAAGAGAGTATATTCCAACTGAAAATGTAATTCCAAAAAAGTACTAAATAGTTTCGTTGAATTCACTTTTGATCTTTATTTATAATTATATTTGACGTATTTATTCAGTGACTGTATTAAAAGCCAATGGAACAACAAAAGAAACAGTATACTTTGTGTATGTGTGCATTTAGTTGTGCTCACCATAGTTACGCGTATCGCGTAAACAATTTTTTTCCGAGAGTTTCGCTTTGTCATGTCGACTATGCGGCCGTTTTGAATCGTGTTATAGAGTAAAACATTCCGCATAACAATTCACAACATCATTTTTTTTCAATATTCTAGAACATGGTCTTTGTCTATGACACATAATTGATTTTAAAAAGTTTGCAAACTGTTTTGAGCAATCGAACGAGAAATATAACAAAGTTTTATGTGGTTTCAACTACCAATTGAAAATGGTGTTTTCATATTGAGATTTTGCGGTTGTTATCGCTGTTGTTAATTCGCGAACACCGCATGACCATAGCGAAAAAAGCATTTCGGTTTGTTTGTTATGAGTTCAAATATACGAAGCTCACCAAATTAAATTGCGTTGCGGATTTTTGTGGTGTTATTGTGAAACGAGGATCAATATATATCTTTCTCTTTGTGCAAACATTTTTGCCTCCATCCATTGAAATAAAATCCGATTGGAATTTTCGGTTTACTTGTGTTTGCTTATTTCAGTTGGTGTTGTTGTGACTACTGATGTGTTTTTTACAGTTAACTGAAGCAAGTTCTAACTTCACTGGAAAATAGTATTTTTCGCAGAAATTTATGAGATTGTATAACACAAACGAATTTATTTGTAAAAAATAAAAAAGTATGTTGCCTAACACAAAGCAAAAATTGAAATCAGATCAAAATGACGTGGTCTCCGCGTTATCGGCTTTATCAATGCCGTCACTGGCATCAAAACCACAACAACCGATAACAAGGTCTTTGGAAATGCATCGAAGCAATTCATTAGTGAGATACAAAACAACCGCTGAAACAATCAGCGAGACAAAAAGAATGCTATCGAATGGTAAGTATTAACCAAACCAGATCAGATCATATTTCGAATAATTGAAATTATTTTCAAATGGGGAGAAATCGAGTGAAACATTTCCATCGAATGCACATTGAACAAAACAAAATTATTTAAATTCAATTTAATATGTTTAATCATATAAAGCACACACATTTAATAAATTATCTGTGATTTTGTGTCATCCTAACGGAACAATTGATATTACAATATATAATAATTTTGTGTAAAAACACCAAATTCATATTGTTAATTCTCCTTCGGTTTTCAATAACACTGGACAATTCGATCCCTTTGAACACAATAAATTACAAAAAAATGTGTATTGGTCAACAAAATTAAAATCAGAACATTTAGCATAAATGCAAATAAATTCAAATTTATGCATAATTTATCATTCAATTTTGATGTACGGGGTGCACAATGCACATGTGTGCATGTCGGAATTGCTTTTAACTCCCCCATCTGATGTTTTCCCTCACGCTATTTCTATATGTGAGTTGAATGGAATGTGACCTCCATTCCGATGTATTTTCAATATCTCTGTAAACAGTTTGGCCCTGTTTGTGCTGTGCTTATGTGTTGTGTTCATGTTTTTGAGCTCATCGAATTTTCATCACTTTATTGCGTCGTTTCAAGGTGAAAACAGAAATATGAAGTGTTTTGTTGTGATGTCTTCAAACAAAAAAAAAAGAATATGGCATGTTTATTACGGGGGAGCACCGTCCAATTCATATCGACATTTTTGGTTCAACAAACGGCATTCATTTCATCGATTTTTATCTGGGGGTAGTTGAACCAGCAAACACAAACAAGTCTTTTTTTCATAGCAGAGATAAATATTTAAATATTAAAAATGTAAAGTGTCACACATGATATTTGAAATTTACTATGATATACTATGTTCCCTTTATGTTTCTGCTTCATTCTCTTTCCCTCTCTCCCTCTTCAACTTTACATATTCATGTGATTTATTGAAATTTCTGTTTATTCGCATACGGTTTGATTATATTTGCATACAGGTGTTCGATTGGTATCGACTCGGCGTCCAATAACTCCCCGTGAACCACGTCGTCAACTTTATGGAAAAATTTCTTTAGCTGATCGTCCGCCAAGCGCATTCAGGTATGTTTCCATTTGAAGTTAAAAGTTTTGTTTTTTTTTTTCTCAAAATTGAAATGAATAAAAATAAACTCACCACTGATTGGCTCTTTAGATACAGTTCAATTTCACTTTTGAAACAGAAGAAACACATAGATAAATACATATTTTTCTTAACTAAAAAATACCAAAACGTATGTTGGAAATGTGATGAATTTTCATTTTTAAAGTGTTGTAATGTAACTATTCGACCATCACAAACAAAGTTTGTATGTATGGTTTGGAAAAATAGAAACCTGTTTATTTTTGATCAAACTTTTTTCATTATAATCCATACAAACTTCTCTGTCGAATTTGTTCGACATGAATTTTTTGTGATGTGATAAAATCATAACCACATTGGTAGTCCATCCAATTTCAAAAGTTCAAATTGTTTCACTGTTGCAATCAGATCGTGGTTAAAATACGCTTTTGGCTAATTAAAGTGATGCAATATTTCAGTTTGAGTTATTTACAACTGGAAAATCGTGTATTACCACCAATCGGAACCACATCACTTGTGACCAAACTAAGCTTGTTGAATGGTGTAGAAGAGCCAGATGGGAGCATCAAAAACGTTGACGATGAGATGACATCAAACAGGAGTGCATTGCAACAGCAGCAGCACCAAACAGATTCGTGCGCAATGGGAAACAATGTAATGGATTTACGAGCAAAAAGCGGTAATGAATCCTATGCAAATACCTGTATATTGGCTATTAGAAGAGATGATAACAGCTCAAACACTGCAATAAATCTTAATTTTCCAGATAAAAACAACCGAAACAATGGTTGCCCGAAATTACCAACACTTTTATCCGATATGAAAAGTGGCACTTCTTCTAATTGTAAGTAATTGTTAGCAAACATGATACAGCCATATTCAAAAGGCTATTTACAGCGATTTAATCGATTTGTTCGTGAATTTGATTGGATACCACGTTGCAATATGCATTGAAACATATCGGTTGGTCTCGGTGGCTTTTGGGGGATCGAACGGTGTGCTTGTGTGCCTGTGTGCTTGTGTGCATATGTATGTGGTATAGGAATTCATGCATTTGCGGATCTATCGAAATAAAAGTTAAGTACCTAAATAGCATCCCACCAATAGAATAGCTTCATGAACTCATACAGTGCATGGAACTTTTCAACAGAATTTTTGGTTAGACTGAACTCTGTATAATATAGAGTCTATACCGAATAGTTGAGTGTACGTCTTTCACATCATTTTCTGTAATCTCTGCTTTATTATACACAGATATATCACTTCGTTTTACTTCCTCGACAAATATATACGTATATAATTCGTGGTTACGATCAATTAAATTGGATTTTGTACACAGCAATCAAATATAAAACCACTCTGTTTGAGAGTCATTTCATTCTCTTTTCTTTTGCTTTCTATTCAATATTATTCCAATGGCAAAAACTTGTTGATATCGAATTATATTTAGGTCTATTTGTACGCACGCTTTTTGTGCTTTGAATTGATATCGAGAAATCTAATTACGCTCACTAACGCATAACATGATGACACATTTCTTTTTTTTGGCAGAAATCATTACAAGCACCAATCGATAATGAATTATTTTAAGCTGTAAATTGCTATTCAGATCAAATTCCACTCCATTCAATTTTACAATTAGGAAAAAAGCGCTTTATTTCGACAGACAAAAAAAACATGTTGTTTTCAAAGCGAAAATAAAAGTAAAGCACTTTGATCGTTTGTCCTCCATTATTGAACGGGAGACCCATCGTATGTTTCCAAGGCATCATGCTCATATTTCGTTTTAATTAAAGGAATATATTACGTTTATATTTTTTTATTAAGCATTCTCTGGTGAGTCATTTTCAGCGAATGATGTCCAAAACATAAGCGCCAAGACCCGACTCTTCAATGGTAACATGCAAAAGAATCGCACGACGATTGCAAATATTTTTGAAGACGATGGTGAACAAATTACATTACCGTTGACTGATGATGTCAATCAATCATGCATGAAAAAGGTAAATTATGGCATTACACATTGGATTTCGTTTTGTACACAAAAACAATGAATGCAAAAAACAAAATGGTTATTTTGATAAAAAATTGAAATATTTTCAAAAAGCCACATAATTCCTAAGTTCCAATTATTTTGATGTCATTTGCATAGCATGGATAGTTTTTTTCTTTTCGTTTCATTCAGATAATTTAAAAAAAAAGCTAAATGGAAAATAAATTGAATGAATTTTCTATACACATTCTTAGCAACCAATCAGTGTACAGAGACGATTGCTAACGTTGCGTGGTAATGATTTGCTAGCCAGTAATTCTACAGAAACTCTATTGGAAATGTTAAAAGCACATTCTGGCATAAAAGATTGCAGCGAAGAGACTATTTTACATATAAATGGGGTTTGTACATTACACTGTTTTAAAATATATATTAGATTGTATGGTCGGGTGTGAAAGAGAGATTGAAATCCATTGACTATTGTTCATCTTTGTCGGTTCATTGTTTTCTTAGATACTAACCGAGTTATACACAAGGGTTAAGGGTGTTCGTAACGATTGGCGTAGTTCCATATTGTCTGCACTCTACGGCTTGGTTGAATGTACGTCCGCCAAAATTTTACTCTCTGTGGCACGCGTAGTGCTTGTGGTAAGTGAATTTCAACTCTATCTTTTCATCTCGCTCTTTTCTTTTTTTTACTCGATTGCTATCGCTATCGCCCATGTTTTTTTCATACAATATTAAAATTATTCTGAACCGTTTCGTTTCCGCCAACTGGCACCAACTGTTACAATGTAACCAATTTCAACATTTACTCTCGCCATCCCTCTGTGTGCACTTCACGTGTCATCATTGTACCAAATACGAAATCTCTATGTGACTCAGTTGGATGTCGTTGGAAGCAACTTAACTGGCGCTTGTAAATTAGTATTTAAGGTGGCTAGGAATGAGAGAAATGACAATTTATTTGCGAATATTGATGTGCCAGGTATGTAAATGATTTCACACTGAAAACCATAAATTAGATTCGTTAGTCGCTCTACGCCTCAATCCATTTCGGTTTCTGCACACATTTTCAAGTATAATATTTTTTTCGGTATTTTGATAGAGTTACTAATAGATGGACTTGGTCGGGCCAGTCCAATTGATGATGCTGAAGCATGTATTTACGGCTATGGTGCCGTACGATTTCTAGCAAATGCGGTCGTTTCATCATCAGTGTCAAATGGAAGTCGCTGTTCAAATTCATCAAATACATCAAGACCAACGACAGCTACATCAACAACACACAAGAAGCAAAAAACATTAGCTTCACGATTGTACCATGTAAGTTGTTGCAATATTCAATGTGTATTATGGATCCAGTAGTTGCTTTAATGTTTATTGTTTTTATCATAGCATGGCGCCAATGATCTGATGATTTTACATTTGATGATGATAAACGAAACGGTAAAATATGCAATTTCTCTACACGAATTGTGTACTATATATTATTAAACATTGTGGAAAAAGAGAAATAGAGAAATTTACTCACTTGAACCGGATCTTTTTGATTTTTTTTTACAGGGAGCCGCTGCAAAATTGCCAACTCAGACATTACACGCTCTATATCAACTGAGCAGTGCTTTACGTGCTTTATCGAAAATTATTATGTCAGATCATGGTTTGCAGCTGATACTTTCGGAAAATAATAACAAAAAATGTGCAACATCCGTGTCATCATCATCATCACCATCGCCATCGTCGATGCCAAAAGCATCAAGTGGAAGCATCGATTCGGTCGATTTTGCAATGAATGATTCAATGAAAACATCAAACGAATTTGATAGACAAATAACATTGGCTGGGCCGCATTTGATTCGAGCGGCTGAAATTTGCATTAATCAGGCGGAATTGCAATTGTGCATAATTCGAACGTTGAGCATTTTATCAGAACATGAAAGTTGTTGTGATGGCATTGCTGATATGGCACCACGTTTGGCCATTTTACTCGGTCCAATAATACTGGTTTTACCGGAACAACGAAAATATAACGCTATGGCCATGACGAAAAATGATATATCAAATAAATCATTGAGTTTACTGAATCGCATCGGTTATATTCTCGGTAATATAATGGCACAATCCGATTCAGCTCGACTTCAATTTTATAATAATGATGTTGCCATGGAATATTTATTAAAATGCTTAGAATATTATGCAAACGAAACGCAAATTTTGCGACATCGTCAAATGCGACAGTCTAATTCAGTGAATAACATTAATGAATTGTCAAACGACGGCGACGATGCAAATGACTGTCAGATCGATACAGTTACAGACGTTGTTATTAAATTGATTCGTGTCATAGCAAATCTTAGCGTAAACGCTGAAGTCGGATATAAATTAGCTAATCATCACCAATTGGGTGCGATTTTATTAGCATTGTTGAACACAATCAACAAACATCGCTTAAACTTTGTACGTACGAAAATTAATTTACTCTCACTTGTTTGCAAATTAAATATCTAGTACCCTGCAAGGATTGTTGTTGTTGTCCGAACATGTTGAAAATTAATTAACATGAAATCGAATATTCTCTTACATTTTGTGTTTGTTTACAGCGAGAGAAATTTCTTTGTAAATCAATTTGACTCTTTTATTATTTAAAACCCTTTTCACAAATGAATCATTTCATTGTTTTCCATTCTTGAAATAATTTTTTTTTGTTCTGTCTGTCTATGTCTAATCCGGTCTTTTTTGCCCAACAATGTGTAGAATTCCGAATTCGAAGAATTGCTATTGGCCACGCTTGGTGCAGTACATAATTTGTCATTCTATCAAAATACGATAGACGAACAACAGACGACAAATGATGATTCAAAGGAAACCAATCATCCGCAAAGCATGATTAAACAGATGACAGCAATAAGTGCTGCATTGTGTGCGATATATCAATGGTCACCTGAATCGGCACAATCCGAAATTGCACGTGTACTGGGCAATTTAACAAGATCATTAGAGGCTCGTGAGGTATATTATTTCGAGAGTGAGTTATACTATTATAGGTTTTATACAATTTCTTTTTTATACACTTTTGACAGGCTGTATTTTCGGCCGGTGGTTTAGAATTCCTTTTGAAGAATTTATCGTCAGATGATTGGGACATTGTGGAGACTTCGTGCGGTGTTTTGGTCAATATGCTGAGTGATTGGGAACGACGTTCAACATTTCGTGAATTACATGGACCATTTCTATTGCGAGATGTTTTACAACGCAGTGCACTGAAACATGATTGGCTTTTGGCCTTGATTGCTTGTCAAGTTCGTTTCAATATGAAAAACCTCAACATTTCAAAAAGAATCAAATTAATTTTTTTTGTTTCAATTATGCTCTTCTCGACTTTTGCCATTCTTTAAATATTCCATTTTACAGGCAATATGGAACTATATAATTGATTCTGGTAATGCTGTTGGTGCGTTGGGCGAAAGCGAAGCCGATTACATATCTGCTGATATACTTGAACTTTTGGGTAAGTGAAAGCGTGTGGTAATTTACATAAAACCAGTTTCAAGCATCAAAAAGCCAAGAATAACAAGTTTGCGTTACTTAATTTATGGTTATCAGATGAAGAGAAATTGTTCGGTGATGCCTTGGTCGACCCCGTTTGGGAGGAGTTTGCTGTCTGTGCTGCCGATGTGCTTGAACGCATTCAATCTTCAATGTCATACAACAATACACCATATGCGTCCGCATCCGAAGATGATAGCGAAGATGACGAAATCAACAAATCGGACGTTTTGAAAATGTCAAAAACTGGCTTTAAATTATGGTTGGCGAACTCATAATTTCAATTGGGCAAAAACGAACAAACATCAAGTCTAATTGTTTAATTGTTTTCAAAACGAATTTATGCATTTCAAAATATGAGAATCCAATGATGAATAAAGCTTTTATTGATAAAACAAACATCAATTTTCATTTATTGCTTAAACTTTTGTGATTTCAATTAGACATGAATGGTATTCCTCTTTATCTTTTTTATTAAAAGTTCAGCAGTCCAATCGACTACTAAGCGAAAAATTCACTTGGAGATTCATAAAATATTTATTGAAGCAAAATGGGAAATTTATTTCGATGCTCGACTTAAACGAAATCATGTTTCATTAATAACTCTCAAGAGTGAATCGTTTCGATTTTTTATCTTTCCGTACAACAAGCATATTGATTTGAACACTTATGAAATATTGCATAGATATTGCTTCATAATCATAACGATAAAGTTTATCATCATCTGGCTGCTATTACTTTTTTAAAAGACTAACTTCTCATTCGAGAACTGCAGAAATTGATAGAAAGATTCTGGAAAAAAATACAGATAAAGACTAGGGAGAAGATACATTTTAACAAATGCGAAACTTAACCTTGGGAGGGATGCAATTTTCACCATATGATTTCATCCATAAATCTCTTCTTTGAAGAAAAAACATCAGCATTTCTCTTGCTTAAGAATCATTACATTCTTTCAGCGATGTTGTGGCACGCTCTACAGGTTTCCGTTCTATATAGAAATTAATGGAAGTTCATGCTATTAAAAAGGGCAACCGTTTATTGGAAACCAGGTCAAAAAAATGCTTACTTTTTCTGCACTTTTCTACTTCACAATTCAAACAATCGCTCTCTATCTCCCTATACTCCTCTCTCACTCTCAGTATAGGGGGCTATCTCTCTCTCACTCATTTTTGAATTGTTCTATGGTTTTAGTAATTTGAATTAATACATCTCATTGCGTACATTTTTAATGGAAATCTCATTTTAATGCATCTGCATTAGCCTATCGAAATGGTAAAATCGCAGTGGTGTGCACACTGGCAGCCTGATTTATTTCCTAATTTTTAAAAAATATGGATAAAATGCTACTCGATTAATTACACGTAATGTAAAATGGATGGCATGATAATCTCTGAATGGCTTTGTAGCACTTTGTAGTTTAAATCATTTTATGTAAAACTGAATGAGATTGAGAGAGGTCACACTGTAAAGCCAGAATGTTGCCCAAAGAGATAAAGGTAATAACTCGAACTTTGTACCGTTTTAGGTTGATGACGTTTTGAGTGAAAAAGTTTTTCTTTTGTGGCAAGCAAAAATATTGAACGATATTTGAAGTGAACAGAGTACAGGAAGAGAAAGTAAACGGAAGTGAAGTAAATTGAGTTTTCCAAAGCTTTTGACATAATAGGAAGACATAATCAAGCTTCAATAAAAAAGACAGGAACAATAACTTGATATTTACTCCAATAATACTTGTAATATTAATGAAAATGTCATGCTAATTCAATTTATTATTTACAGATACTTACCTACACAGTAAACATCCATCTGCAATAGCAATATCGCTACAAACTTAACTAAAGGATCAATTTGATAGATTAGGTTCTATGGTAGCTTCAATAGTTGATATGTGTGCGTATTTCTAACAGTTTTGGAAGCTTATGTATTATGCTTCATAGCACTTGAATTACAAACAATAAATTAATATCGTTAAAGTTATCGTCAAAACTATTTGTGTGATAAATTACAGTGATCTGATTACACTAAGCAAGTGCAGTTTTAGTTGTGCAGTTGACAGCAAGCATTCAATTAAATGAGTTGTTGTGATGGATAATACTAATAATAATAATAATAATTTGAAAGAGTATTCAAGATATAGAGAGATAGAGGGGAGGGTAAAGAAGACTTACATTTAATTTTGAACATATTGAGAAAACACTTGAACATGAGTCATGGCCGTTCTATTCAAAAGCAATACAACCAACTTACCAATTGAATTAATGGCTTTTGAAGAGTGTCTTTACTTCATTCATTAATTTAAAAAAAAAAAAACGATGTCATTGAGTACTTTAAAACACATTAAGTCATACGCACCATTCATTTTAATTATTCACTTCAGTTTGGTACGATTTTTTTATTGTTTCATTAAAATTTAATCTTTATACAATTCAATACTTTTAACTTGACCGATTTATCAGCTAAATATTTGTGTCTGTGTGCGTGTGTGTTTGTATGTTCGTATTTCTTTGTTTCTGTTTTTAGTTATGTGTAAGTATATATTTTTTTTTATTTCTGCTTCGTTCCTTTATGGAATCAATAAAATACATTTATATGTTTATCATTATATATATAATGTTAATATCATCTATTCAATTAAAATTATGCCTATATAATATGCGTACGCCATATCAATTCGTCCCAAACACACATACACATAAACATTTAAAGATGATACGGTCCTGATGCGACCTGTGCTGTTTACTTAAAATACCTTCATCATTAAAGTCAACACACTTCAACTCTCGTAAAGTATTCATTCACGTTTTGCTGAGCCAATGATGTTAGCATTTTGACGCTCCGTTGTTTGTGTTGAGTGAGTTAAGAGTGAAACTTTTTCATTTATTATTATTAACATTTTGATACTAAATTGTTTTTTTTTTTTTGCATTTTGTTTAAGTAGTTACGAACATTGAATTTATTTTAGCTAAGTAAGAAGTTCTTACTAAGAACTGAACGAGATGTTCATGTATTTGAGATTAATTCAATGCATTTCCGCAGAAATGTTATGACAATCATTATCGCAATCATGTTGAAATGAGATTTTTCATATCCGTGCATACAAGCACTGCCTCGGTGCTCATGGTACATTGCGGCCGGATTATCGCCTGAAATGAGAAAATAAAATGAATTTAATTGATTTCAACGTTCAATATATCAACTTTGATTGAAAATGCTTCAAGTTTTTTTTGTTCATTAATTCGGTTTTTTTTAAATAGCAATTTTTGCTGCTATCCATGCTTGTATCTCACTGGAAAAAAATATGAGATTCTCGGTAATGAATGCATTGATTGAAAGCTGCTTTCAAGTAAGCCAATCAAGTGGTTTGTGGCATTTCAGAATTTCAAATATTTTCCGATAAATGCAATTAGAGTAGTTTGTATGTTGAAAAAAAAGAATGTGCAAAATCACACCCGCCCAACACAAAAATTTCCTTTAATGATGCACACATAACTTAAAGGCAAAAGAGAATTAGAGAAAAAGAGAAATGCCTTAATTTCAAAAGTTTCATAGTGGAAATATGTTCGATAAAACACCGTACGATTAATGGACTTCCATTCTGAAAAGCTTTTAAGATATTCCAATTAATTTAGCTCGAATAATAATATTCATCAAGCTGATGGGCTACGTCGATATATTTTACTGACTGGAGGCATCCACTGTGCCGATAAAGACAATAAAACCATAAAGCTAAACGACATGAACTTCCGGTACTGTTAAAAGTTACTCTCTAATACACTAAAAACAATGTACAATGAATGCGTTCTGCTTATTATTCACTTATCCACAATCCAGGACAATGATGTCGAACAACTTTTGAGAAGTGGTCAACGCATATTAAATACATAATCGAATATGGTCTATCGTCCAAAGGCTGTCTAAGTAAACAAGAATAGGACACAAATCTTAAACAAAATAGAATTCTATTGACAATGCGTTAAAATGTGAAGTCAGATATTTTAGCTTATGATTCAAATGAAAATATAATGCTAAAATGAGAAATATTCCTTTTTAAAACACTCTGCTGGCTAAAATATTTTTAAAAAAATCCACGAATGTGATGAAAGAGACTATCCAATTCTCATATTATGTGCGACTATTTACAGGCAAAAGCTGATGTAGTTTGAGCTCCATTCTCATGCGAAAGTCACGTCGATTTTGTAATTTTTGCTTGACGAAAGGTATGCAAAGTGCAAAAGTTGTACGTTGCATACCATCATAAAAAGTGTTTTTTATTAAATCCAATGTCCCACTTAGCAAACATTGATACTGACTGCAAAACATGAGCACTTTTGCGGTATATAACTTCAGTTCCCTTTGGCTGTACATTTTTCAAATTGCATAATTTTCATGACAGCTTTATCTTTTTAAATGACATTTTTCATTTTACCCAAATTAATAATTAGTCAATTAATAATAACTTTTTTTGTGTTCTATTCTGATGACAAATTGTAACTAAACGTAGTTCTTTAACATATGCTTTTTCAACACCCTCACTTTTTTGGATTTTAACAAAGATTCAAAAAACTTAAGCATTACGTTTACAATTCTATTTTATCAGTAAATTTTTACGCTGGTCCCCCGTTGTTATTTGGGTTCACATTTGAATTTGCAGCGTATTTTTTCTTTAATCTACGCTGATGACTTATGTATACAAAATAGATGAACTCAATGGTTTTTAGGACACAAAGTATTAACAATAAAATTTGAGTCTTCTCCATCGTGTGGTCTGCGGTCACCACCACATTGTTGTTCACTGCCCCGGTTGTATCTACAACTTTTTGCGTCTTGGATTCACCACTTCCCATCTTGACTGATTGATAATAATACAAAAAATGGAACAAAAAATTGAATCTGATTGGTTTCACTGATTTAAATTTTAGTAAAGTAATTGTATTTACTTTGAATCTGATTGATTTCACTGATTGAAATTTGAGCAGGATAATTTAATCTACTTTGAATTTGATCGATTTTACTGTTTTGATTTGAACAAAATAATTATCTTTGTGAAATGAATTTACTTCGAGTCTGATTGATTTTTCTGAATTAAATTGACCGTTTTGGTTGACTTCAGTAGCTCAATTGATTTTAATTATTTATGAACGCTAGGGCCTCACTTATTTGCAATAATCTACTTTTAAAATTTTCAATGTTTATGCCAAAAAATATAAGAAAAAATAAACTAAATGACCTAAATATAAAAGTATAAATGCTTGCATGTGCAAATCGATATTCAATGATCAGTACAAAAAAAAATTGCTTTGTTTAGTCAGCTAACAGTCCCATTGAACTGGCACAAAATTTTGTTTTTTCTTTCGTCACCGTTTTCGTGAGTGAGTCGGCCACCATTTCATTTGTATTTAGGTATTGAATATTAATTTGCTTGTTTTTGATTTTTTCTCGAAAGTGATGGAATCTTATGTCAATATGCTTTGACCGTTGGTGATATCCATCCGTTTGTGCCAGAAGAATTGCGCTTTGATTGTCACAGTTCTAAGTTATTGGTTCATTTGTGTTATAACCAACTTCGTTGCACAATTGTTGTAACCAGATTGCCTCTTGAACTGCCGATGACAGAGCCATGTACTCCGCCACAGTTGAAGACAGAGCTACCGTGTTTTGTCTGGTACTTTTCCATGTAATGGCAGCGTTGGATAATTTAAAGATGTACCCTGTACAAGATCGACGCTTATCAATGTCTGATGCCCAATCTGCATCACTGGAACCACAAATCTTTCCTGTATCGAGAGAAAAACAGAGTTTATTAGTAGTGGTTCCCCTCAAATATCTGAATATGCGCTTAACGCCTTTCCAATGCGCCATTGTGTAATTCGAGTTGAAACGGCTCACGTCGTTAACAGAATACGCAATGTCGGGACGCGTTCCCTGTGCAACGTAAAGCAGCGAACCCACTGCCTCTTGATATGGTATTTTTGCTAACTCTTCTTCGTCGATTTCGTTCGTTGGCATGTTTAGTGATAGTTTGATGTTGGTATCGCTTGGCATATTGATCGGCTTTGATTCAAACATACCGAATCGCTTCAGGATTTCTTCAATGTAAACTGATTGGTCCAATTGAATTTTACCATCTGTTTGTGCAATGCGAATTCCTATGCAGCCCTTAGCCAATCCCATGTCTTTCATCTTAAACGTGTTGCTCAACATCTGCTTCATTTTTGACAAGTCACCTTCATTTGAATAAAAGATTAGAAAATCATCGACATAAATTGCTATTATTAAATTCAATTTTTCAGAGTAGTAAATACACGGGTCCATTTGACATTTTTTTAGTTGAAAATCGGTGAGTGCTTTGTCCGATTTCACATTCCATTGACGGCCGGCCTGTTTTAGGCCATAAATTGCTCTATTCAACCTGCATACTCTTTTGGTACCGTCGTTGAATCCGTCTGGTTGTTCCAGAAAAATGCACTCATCGATATCACCCTGAAGAAACGCCGTTACGGCATCCATTTGGTGAATTTTTAATTTTCGTTGTATTGCGATCGCAATTAGGATACGAATTGATGTATAGTGAACCACTGGTGCATATGTGTCGGTATAGTCTATACCCTCACGTTGTGTGTAGCCTTTCGCTACGAGCCTCGCTTTGTAGCGTACAATACAACCATTTACATCGCGCTTAGTTTTGAAGATCCATTTCGTTTTTACGGTCTTCGCTTCCTTTGGTAAATCGCATAAGGTCCAGGTATCATTTTCCTTCAGAGAACCAATTTCCTCTTTCATCGCATTCTCCCAGTGTTTCTTGTCTTCACGTTCCTTCAATTCACGAACACTTAATGGGTCGTCAATAGACTCAACCGAATCACATTTAAAAGCAAATTCAGTGTCCATTTCACATGCGAAAAAGTTATAAAAACGATTACCTTTGCGTGTTGTGACTCCTATCCCTGGTGGTATTGGAGTAATTGGCTCCTCCGGTACGAATGTGGAATCAGACTGTTCATCATCTGTTTTGCTTTCATCAGATGTCACTTCAGTTGAGCTGTTTCCGTCTCCATTTCCACTCGTTTCGGCTTCCTCTGCCGCCAGATCATTTTCTATTGGATTTAAAGTATATATTTCATTCGGACTTACTTGCGAGTTTTCATCGTCATCATCCAAAATATCGGTAACCACAATTGTTTGATCATCTGGAGTGATTGATTCGTGAAATATTACATCTCTGCTGATTGTAAGTTTTCGAGTTTTTGGATTCATACAACGATATGCCTTTGACTTCATATCATATAAAACGAAGATTAATTTTTCCGATTTTGAATCCAATTTTCTCCTTTTTTCTTTTGGAACATGTACCATGATTTCAGCCCCGAACAGCCTTACATGGGATAAATTGATCCTTTTTCCAGTCCAGATTTCCTCGGGTACCTTGTTTTGTGCGTTAATCGTTCGGTTAATTAGATATGTGGCCATGTTCACAGCCTCGGCCCAACATTTTTTTGATAACATTGCGTCAAATAATAAGCATTTCGCCCTTTCGATAAGTGTTCGATTGAACCTTTCAGCCACGCCATTTTGCTGTGGCGTATAAGGCGATGTTAACTGATTTTCAATGCCGGCCGCTTTGAATAATTTTTCGAATTGTTGGTTCACATATTCCGTGCCGTTATCAGTTCGTAGAATTTTAATTTTTCGTTCGGTTTGGTTTTCCACATAATTTTTGAATTCGATGAATTTTTCGTACGTTCCGGATTTTTGTTTCAGGAAATAAACAAAGACCTTTTTAGAATAATCATCAACAAAAGTCATGACATACCTGGCCCTTCCAATTGATAAGGTTTCCATCGGTCCATTTAGGTCTGAATGAATTAATTCAAGAATCTGTTTTGATTCACTTATGGATCGGTTGAACGGTTTTCTACTCTGTTTGTCATTATACCTTATACCAATGACGGCACCGTTTTTCATTTTTGCCATGGTTTGCACATTTAAGTGTCCGAGCCTACGGTGCCATAGCATAGCACTTTCATATTTTGTGCTTGCGATGAAGCATCTTTCTGTTTCACTTAAAAAAGAGTATGAGCCATTTTCTACCTTGCATTCAGCTACCAATTCTTGTCGTGTATTGTATATCTTACAACCGTCAGCAGTAAATATCAGCTTATTGCCTTTGCTTGCAATTTTGTATACAGATAAAAGGTTTACGGATAGATTTGGAATGTGTAATACATCGGATAGCTCAACTGGTTTACCATTTAATTTCAGACTCATATCACCGCGCTTTGTGGCACTTAAACGCGTATTGTCAGCAGTTGTAATGTCGTTTGTTTCTGTTTTACGTACATTAATTGCAAGCAATTCGCCAATGGGTGTCATATGACTTGTTGCACCGCTATCTAAATGCCATACGTTTCGTTGCTTCGTGGCCAAAAACGCATTATCAGCAGTATTCGTTTCTTTTGCAATGAACGCTGCTGCCGATTTTTTGTTTTTCTTGTCGGCATCGGGTTTCCCGTGCTTCTTATAACACTCGCTTTCGGTATGCGATTTGCCACCACAAAAGTCACATTTTTTGAATGATTTTTTCTTGAAATTTTTCTTGCCTTTACTTCGTGCGACAAATGCTCCTTCTTTTCCATCGTTTCGATAATCGAACAATTTACTGATAATCAATTCACTTGAGTGTTCAAGACCACTTGACTCAAAGGCCATTATAAACGGTGTAAACTTTTCACTTAGCCCACCCAGTAGAATGGCTCCGAGCCATTCGTCGCCCACATTAAAACCAATTCCACCGAGTTTGTTAGCTGTGTTGACAATTTCATCTACATATTCCTGCATGCCATTGCATTCATCTAATCTGACAGACATTAAATTTCGCATTAATTGAGCCTTTCTGGTCAATCCTTTAGCTTCGTAAAGACGCGTTAATGTTGCCCATATTTCATTTGCACTATTGGCTGTTTGGATATGTACGAAAATTGATTGATCTACACTCAATGATAAAACATTTTTTGCCTTTTTTAGTTTCTTTGGGTCTTTTTCTAGCACCACACCGTCGGAGTTCGTTTGGATGCATAGCTCCAGATCGTTCAGCTCCAGCAGGTTTAGGGCAGCGAATTTCCATGTATGAAAATTCGAGCTGCCTTTTAGCTTTTCCAAATTGAAATCACTGGATTTTACGTTACTCATTTTTGAATGATTTTTGAGTTAACAACTGTATAAACTGTAGAATCTTTTATTATATTCTCTTTACTGTGCAATTTATTTCACTGTGTAATTTGAGTCGCGCTTTAGCAAACTTCGCTTTGCTACCATGTGATATTTTAAAAGAGCAGTAGAAATAAAAGACGTGTGTTCTATTCTGATGACAAATTGTAACTAAACGTAGTTCTTTAATATATGCTTTTTCAACAGAAACATTTACAGATTTTTTGTATCATGTAGATAGAAAATATACTGTAGGTTGATAAATGTCGACACCTTTCCATTTGTTGGAATACTGAGACGTGAATTATATATTTTCATAAAAGCAAAGGAGTTTTGATTCATGCGTATCTAACATACAATTCTTGCGTTTCAAACAAAAGACAAATACACTCGACAATAATTAGAATTTCATATAACTCTAACGTCATCACAGTTTGCGAGAATTATTTGTCCACAGTCGTTTTCAGTAATTTTTGACTTTGAAATATCCGCTTACGTGTGAGGGCGTCAATGTTCCATATGAATCGTAATACCAAATTATTGCGCGGTGGGTGAATACACCATCTCAAATATCAAAAATAAACAACATAGGCGATTCATACCCACGATTAAATTAAAAAGATAAGTTCGATTCACTCAATTCATATCAATGGAAAAAATGTGTTTGTTTCTTCTTTTAATTCTTCTATCAATCGATTCTATAAATCCCCAATTAATTTGTGAAAAATATTGTTCCAAGTTTTATTCTTTACTATTAATAACGTTAACATTTGGATTGAATACATGGAAAAAAATAAATCCCAAGCATCATATCAAGACCTTGAAAGGCAGAGAAATATGTGGTCATCAATTATAAATGGATAAATATCCCACGATTCCTAGAAACGGATTTTTATTTATTTGTTTATCATTATTTCAATTCATTTGCTATTTTATAAAATTGATTTTGCATATAAAAAATTGAAAAGCTCTTTGGAAGATTTCCATTTCGGCGGAGTTTGTATTATAATACTAAGGTCGCATTCAATAATGCGTGTGTCAATTTATTGTTATTTGTTTGACTGTAGGCTTTCGATGAAGACAATAACAAACAAAATAAAATAACAACAGTTTGAAGTGCTGTTGAAACGACGTGCAATGAATACGTCGCTATGGGCACTCATACAAAATCCATAATATTCAACGTCAAATATAGCTTTAGCAATTCATTTAAGAAGGATTTGTGAAGTGGTCAAGGCAATAGGCCAACACAGTGAATATATATATATAAACGAATGCAATGGCTTCGGTACAATCTACGTCGTCTTTGAAAACTGTAGCAACTCTGTGCTAACTCACTCCTCGTCTACTCCTTTCCATTGTGCTTCGGGCAAGAATCAAGACGATGGCAAAACAATCCATAAATATATATGATGGCAATATCATTTGAATTTCATGAGAATGAGAGAAAGAGTATATGCGATACTTACCTTTGAATATGTGAACGAGAACGAATGCCGGCTGTGCATTTGATGGCACGCAAGTATAATTTCCTTGTTTAACGAATACATAAAATGTGTTATGTAAAATTGGATGTGAAACGAGAGAAGAGAAAGACAAAGAAAATAGTATAATTACCCGAATGCTCCCGATTTGTTCGTTCAATGGTCAACTCCGAATAGTGATAGTCTGAAATTGGTTTACCAAACAAGAAAACATGAAGTATAAAGTTTACATTTATAGTTGGTGTATATAAAGTCAACTTTTTTTTGTTATATATATACCGTTTGGCAATTGGTATACCAAATCGGACACTGAAAATGAAAACCGAGTTTCATTGAATTTGAACGACCGAACTTTCTCAATTGAATGTTTTCTAATTTAAAAACAGTTGCACGTCAAACTGAGAATTCAATGAAACTCAAATGGATAATAAGACAATGTAAAGTCGATGTAGTTTGTTTTTTGTTTCTATGTTACACAGAGTGTATTGTAATGTTAGCAATGAATGCCTAGAATATTGAATAGCTTTATGGAAATGAAGTTGAATGATGAGTATATGTACCTGCTTCAGTCGATACATTGATTCCTCTATCGACATCGTAGTTGATCATCCGGTTGTCGTGATACCAAAAGATGAATGCTGATGCTTCGGTATTTTGCACAATGCGACACATCAATTTGAGAGTTGAGCCCGGGGTTAAATACCGAAGTGGTTTTCCAACAATTTCTGCACGCGCCTCTGTCGAAGCAAAAACAACAACAAAAAAACATTAAAATCTCAACATTCTTAAAAACAAACAGTTCCCACTTTTGAATAAAAGACCCTGCAAATGAAAACGCTTAATTCAGAAATAAAAAAAAATGTAATCGTGATAATAAAAAATAACACTTCAGTCTTCTCAAATACACTATGACCAGCAGCAGTGACTGTTATTTAATCAAAGTGATTTGCATGAATTGAACTGACTAACTTAAAATATAAATTTAAAACGGGATTTTTTGCATAAATAAAAGAGATATCTAAACAAAAGAGAATGGGAGACTGATTGAATTTGACAGAGATATTCATTTGATGAATATTTTATCCACTTGCCATGTGCAATAAGACCAATAACAAATGCGAAACGATGCTAACATAATTATAGACCACGGCATTGGTTTGGCTGGGACGATAAAGGAAAAACGTTTATAGAAAATTATCGAAGATGGAAAATGTGGAATATTGAACGACACAGAAAGTGTTAGAACGAGTAAAAGACAGTTTCGACACTGAGCTTATTTTAATCGTAAGCCAATTTAAGCGCTTCGCATGAAATAGACACAAATACACATACACCCATATATACGAACACTAAGTCACTTATATCTGGAGTGAGGTAGGATACCATAACGATGTGTGTGTGTATATATATATATATAGAGAGAGAGATAGAGAGCTTTGCAAACTACGGACGGTGATGGAATGAGAGGAAAAAAGAGAACCTTGACTCATTTTATTACAATTCAGTTTGGTATAATGTAATCATCATTATCTGTGTCATTATTTGTGAATCATCATCGGTAACATGATAGTAATCATTTTATATGGGACATTTCCACATACATACAATCATGCTCACATAAGACACCGTCATTATCAAACACTCATTTCTGCGGCATAATATGAACCGAACAACAGCTTACCATATACACAATTTACACAGAGAATCACAAGAGACGGAGAGCAACAAAAAAAAATCGGAAGGAATATTGACATACACACAGTAAAATAGAGACTGAGACTCAAACAATATACGCACGAAGTGAAATAGCAAGCGTAAAAAATCGGAGCGCAAAATAAATATTCTTTGGTGTATGAGCCAATGTGTCCTTTTCGATGTCGTTAATGAGCTATGTTCGTAGTGAAGACCCAACACGCTGCGATGAAATAAGAAAAACGAACAAATCTGTTGATTTATCGGTCCCAATTGTGTGACTAACTACGTATATATAGTCGATACCACTTTAAGTGTGCAGCGGCCATCGATCTGACATCTTATTGCAATTTGAGTTTCTTTTTCTGTTCCATTTTTTTTACTTGACATGACACATGAAGAGAATAGCTAAGCCACTGCTAATGTATACGTGGACATGCTCATGTGAAAGATGAGTGAGTGTATGTGTATAGTTTTTCCCTCAAGTTCCTAATGTTTCAAACTCAATAGATATTGTCTTGTGCTTTTGTTCATTCCAACGAATTACCGGAGTAAAATTACATTCCGAATTGAAAATCACATTGTGCAATGAAATACCAAGGGTATTGTATGAGAGAAAGAATGAATTGCTTAGCATTTTTGCTGGTTTCTGCAATTTTCCATTTTGTTTGCGCTGCTACTTGCAATCGATGACAACGACAAACTTTTGAATTTCCTCGTTGATTACATGTGTACATTGCCTCAATTGATTCGTATCGAAAAAGTAAACAATTAAAAGAAAAATTGGGATTAAAAAAACAGTTGCGGCCAATCCAAATACATATAAAAACGGAGAAAAATACACACACACATACACGCAACGTCCAAGCAACGAAGCTGATTGAAGCGTGACAATTGAAAGTTGAAGTTTTTTCCGACAGACTCTTTCAGTTTATTAAAACATTGTAAGAATGACTGCACAAGATCGACCAAGTGGAAAATATTTCTTGTTGAATGATGAGTACTCAAAAGCACTATGTCCATTATAAATGTATATTCAAACGCAACAAAGAATATAAAATATTCGTATGACAGAAGATAGAAAAAAAAAAAATCATATACACATAGAACCTCTTTCACAAATCGACCAAATATCTACACAGAACTTTGTGTGCTTGTAAGTGACAAGCGAGTTGTCACATCAAATCACATTTGCATACTTGAAATACGATGTTGAAAAAAAGTTGTTGTTTTTTCAGTGGTCGACTCATTTTCTATACATGTATTTTTGTGTGTGTGTTTCAAAGACCAGCCAAGAGGGGTTTCGTTCTAGTTTCAAAATTTGGCATGCCGAACGGACCACTTTTTATTTCTATCTGTTTTGGTTCGTCGTTCGGAGGCATTCAAAATACTTGCACCACATATATATTTTTTTTTTTTTAAGTGAATGTCCCTTTTTATTTGCTTTTAAAGATGCTTTTTTCCACATTTTCTTTTTACAACTTCCGTTTTCGCCCTCAACTGATTCACCTTTTTGTTGTGTTCTCAAACTTTTTTTTCTTCACTTCTTAGTTTGTCTATTCGGGGTCGCACTTGCTCTCCACAGATTTTTCTTTCTCTCTCACACACACACACACTTTTCTTTCGTTCCGTCATTTGGCATATAGTTATATTCAAAAAGTTCACATCACCATTCCGTCTTGAGAATCAGAGAAAAGGCAATGCTTGAAAAAGTTATAATTTCCTAATGGGCAAATTTTTATGCATTTAAAATTGGATTTCACTCTGTCAACGGAAAGAGCACAGGAACTTTGAAAGGATGAAAAAAAAAACCGTACAAAGAGACAGAGGAAGCAAATGAAAGAGAGCAAGAAACATGCAGCCAACCAGTAAGAGGCAAACGGCAATAGCAATGGCAAAAGTCATGTCTGTGAATTTAATAAGGGAAAACGGAAAACTGGAAAAGGAGACAAGCCAAGATGCCGCCAACTAGAGGATGGAATGGATTGTAAATGTAGCAAGCATTTGAAATGAAAGAGAATGTTGGCCGTGATGTAAAGATGTAAAGCAAACTAACGACAACGCCAGCACGCTGACAAAGAATATAAATAACGATAATTTCCATCAAAAACTTGACTTTTGGTTCAATTGAATTCAGGCCGTACGAAATCGAGAAATAGAAAGAAAGAGTGAGTGTGAGAAAGAGAGAGAGCAAGAGCAAAAACTAAATCGAGAAAAAAACTCTGCTGAACACAGCAACTCTGCCGTCGACTTTTTCAATATACTGCATTGATAACGCCTGATATTATTTTTGTTCAGATTATTATGATTATCGTTGTACAATTTCTTCTCTTTCTCTATTTTTTTTTCAGATGACATTTTTCACGAACACGAAAAACTTCTTGACTAACTTGAATGGCAAAACTTCGGTCGAATATTAAACTCACAAAAATGCCACAAGTAACTTCATACAATCAGTAATACGATTAAGTTCTGTTGCCTTTCTCTTTGTCTGCATTCTTGCCATGAATACGCACAAAAAAAGCTTAAAACAAAAATAATTTGCTCATTGTAAATTTTTATGAAACATACCAACAACATTCAAATAAATGAATATGGACGTTGGTGGATGAACTGACACACTGCACTCATACACGCCAGCGTCTCTTAATTGAACATATTTTATTTGAAGCGTCCAGTCCTGAAACGATAAAAGAAAAAGAGAAAAAAAAATCGGTGTCAAAATGAAGGACAAACGTTTCTGAAACGCAGTGATTGAAAAAATTATTTAATTAATTTAGTTTTCAACGAATTTTGGTTGATCAAGCAACATATTTTGTGCGGGCGTCATTTTTTCGACATACTAAATTGCGCACAATTTACGCGTCAATAATAATACATAATCAATTAAAATGCTTTTACTTACTTCGGAATTTTTGGCATGGGACACGCTGTATCGCTCATCCGAGCTGTATGTTATTAGACTGACAGTGATTAAATGAAAATCGCGTCTTCTCACCCAGCTAACCTGCAATAACAAATATACAAATAAAATCATACAGCCAACCAACAACAACACCAAAACAAAAAGAAATTCAAACAAATGGATCCTTGGATAAATTTGCTAGCACATTTTGCTATTTGCTGGCCATTCATCATTCGAAAATGGTTGTGCTACTTTTTCAATTCACATTTGCACTTCGTACATTCACTCGTCTCACGTTTATGCGTGTAGAAAAGTTTTCCAATTGACGATATGGAAAAATATGCTGTCTTTCCTCGGGTTAATAAATTCACTGATACAATGCAAACAGAAAGCAAAAACTTGCACACGAGACCATAGGATTGAGTGTGCAGGCAAAAAAAAAAAAGAATACATCGAACGCGAGAAAGAGAGGAAGAGGCAAAAAAATAACGAATATACGACATTTATCCCAGTAATCAGTGTCACGCCATATTTGTGCGCGTAGTATTTGCAGAGAATTTGCATTTTCAGCTAAAACGTTTATGTTTACAAAGAATTACGTTGATATCTGTATTTTGAATACAGCGCTAACGCTTGTTGTTTCCAATGACAATACAAACACCCAGTAATGTGAAAAGGGAGAAAAGGAACGTAACGGGATCCTAATCGCCTTGCACGACTTATTTGGCTTCTTTTATTTTCATTCCTTCTATCGTTCGCTGAGCTGAGTATGAGTGTTTTTTTTTTCATTCGTATATTTCATTTTATTTTCGTTGTTGTCACTGAGATGCTGGGATTGGCTTTGTTATATACGTGAGTGCTATTGTTGATATTTGCTAAGGGCACTGAAGATGCGGAAGACAATGAATAAACTAGTTTTATGTGAGAATTGGTCGATTTGCGTTTTTGTTTTTGCAAACGAACGAACGAACGAAGCGAAAAAATGTTGTTATGTGCATAATTTTGACCGTTCTTTGTCTTTTTTTATCATATATGTGCGACCAAATCGTCAACAATGAAAGATGCTATCTCTCTTATTGTGAGTAGTATTGGAGGCAAATGACGCCGAAAGCAACCACGCAAAGGCCATAGTCACAAGGTCCGCATTTATTTTTTTTTTGTTTTTCTCAATCTTGACGACTCTGTTTTCGTTGTGGCTTTTTTTATTCGTATAGTTCTGCAATGGCATGCGACACATAAGACATATGCTTCATTTGAAATCTCGATATAGTGTGTAAGCTCTCAATTGTTATCGCAGTGATGAAATCGTGGGGATATTTGTCGTCTCACTCGCCATTGTGTTTCGGATCGCTTTATCCGAAAGAAAGCGAACACACAAAACAAATATAAATAGAAAACTCAACCGCAAACACATAGTGAGAAGAGAAAAAAAACGAACTCATGAACTTATTCATTCGTTTCTCGTTTCGAATTTTCCTCATTTTCAAAACGCAACTCCAGACGAAGAGAAAGAGAGAGAGACAGACAGACCGAAAACGAGAGCGGGAGCGCGTTAGTAAGAGCGATTGAATGAAGAGAACTATAAAATGGATTGATGCCATAGATTTGTAGTGTTGATAAGAACAGAGAAGAAAACGCAACGATACAAAGCACATACACGTAAACAGTACAAAACCAAACAAAGCGCGATACTTATGAAATAAATGTTCGGAAAAAATGGGATAAACACTAAACCTTAAATGGAAAGCGTATGCACACATACACACACACACACACACACACAAAGTGTTGACGCTGCACAGAAAATGTGTTATCCGAACACATTGAATTAGGAAAACACACTTGAACGATAACAAGTGTGATATGGCGAGTATTTGCTGAATAGTATTTGTTTATGTTTTTTTTTGTTCTGTCTCTCGCCTGCCTGCCCACCCGCTCTTCTACTGTGAACGTTTATTAAATGTGCGATTAAATTCCGTATTGGATTTCACTTTTGAGCGCTTTTTTTCTCTTATATATTTTCGAAGTAGTATTTTTTCGTGCTTGAGAAAGGCCGAGTGTGGTTTGTCGTTTTATTACTGTCAAGTTGTGTACGCTTCGATGTGGATGTTGTTGAGCTTAAAATTGCTTTCCGTATACCATTTTCCATTATCTTCATCACCTTTGTTTGATTGTTCCATCTTGATTAAATTCTCGACAATAAAAGTTTATTGAATTCGATAAAAAGTTTTAATTCTTTTGATGTTGATTTCCATCGGCAACGTTTTCATTTTGTTTTGTTTTCAGATTAACGAAATTGTCAGCACTGACATCAACTAACCAACCATGCGGCCAACCAAATTAAATTGAAAGTGACATTTCGGGGAGCTTTTGTATGTGTGTGTGTGTGTGCATTTGTATGCTTGGAAATATTGGCTATGTGATGGCATTAATAGTAGATTGAAGCGGACAAGGAGGTGTTGAATGGTCTTTTGAAGTTATAAAACTGAGATTTATCATTTTGATGCCGTCGTTCATTGTATTATTCAATGAATTGCCACGTTGTCGGAGAATGGAACCGTATTTTCCCATTACCATCAAACATACTATAACAGTAGTTCATTTTTTTTATTGAAATATGAAAAGTGAGCAGCTGAGCTTTGAACTGTCGTCAGCAGTTATTTCCATTAGAAAAGCATGAAGCTAAAATAAGTTTGTGCGAGTGTGTATCACATTTTATGTATGCATGAATTTCCATATAAATTTGATTTTAGCCAAGGAATTATTTTGCTGTATCTCTCACACACAGAGACGCAATCGATGAAGAACGAGAAGAATGGAAGCTGGAAAAGCTTAGAAATAGAAGTAAAAAAGGAATAAAAAGAGACAGAAACAAGGAAATATACTTACGACGCCTTCGCCGATATTATGGACCTTACACTCTAAATGGGCAGTTGCACCAATCTGTGTGTTTACTGTTGTGGAATTTTCTGTGCCAAAATACATTGGCTCTTTGTAGTATTCGTCTAATGTGTTATGGTTGAAGTGACCATCAATATTACTGCTGCTACTGTTATCATTTTCATGAATCAACAGCATTGGTGCACCTTTCAATTCAGCTGCCACTGCATTTGATGCTGACACAACTGCTTCCTTAGTCGTCGATTGTTGTTGCTGTGATATCACATCTTCTCTTAATTTATTATTATTACTATTGAAGCTGCTACCTTGGTTCAATGATACGATCTGTTGCTGACGTTGTTGTTGTTGCTGCTGCTGTTGCGGTAGCTTCATTTTCGATAGCACTTTAAAATTTTTGCTAGCGATTTTATCGGACATATTAGTGGTATCTTTGTTACGTGATAATAGGTCTGTTTGTGTTTGTGACAATCGAATGCCATTTGATTGTGAATTGGTTGCGAGCATCGGCGCCGAAGACCTTGTCGGCGTTGAAAATATGTACATTTTACTGGTTGTGCTATCGAAATTGGTTGAACCTAACGCAACACTCTTGGTTAATACGGATGATAGACCTGTAGATAAGGAAGAGATAGGAGAAAAAAAAACACAAAACGGATCAGATATTGTTATAACCAAATGCGATAAAATTTAAGTACCACTTGGAAATGAACTTTCTTTTTATTCCGTTGCAAAGTTAATCCAAATGGATTTAATGCACAAAAAAAAAAGAAATAAAAGATAATCAAGCGAAAAGAGGAAAAAACATCCACTTAATTCTCAAGTAAAATGCAATTTAAATTGATGAAGTATTCAAAACCATAAGCTTTCGGTTTCAGGTGATGGTTTAAAGTGTAGAAATCCGCTTTGAAATAGCTGTTTTCCCTTCGACGAAAATGAAATGCGAAAACTTTTACGGAAACAATGAAACTTCAATTCAACAGAACGTAACCGAAGTATTCATTGTGTCGTCAACATCATGTATCTCCTTTTTTTCAGTGTTACCCGAAATCCGGACGGAATATTTTCATCTACTCAACGCACAACTTTGCTATACTTTAAGAAGTTGAATCAAATATTTTCGGCCATGACTTTAGTATTCAAACTACTGAATTAACAACGCGCGTTGCCAAGTGCTTTTCATAAAAATGGATAATTTTATACGGCCAACAATTTGTTCGCGCACATACATAAAACTTATATTACAACAATTGCTCAGGCGTTCATCACAACGCATATGGTATTGGATGTGAAAAAAGACATTTGGAAAAAAACAATGGTGAAAACTAAATGAGCAAATCATATTCGAATGCCCAAGGAAACGACAGACCAAAACGAAAATCGTGCACAAAATCTCAAGAAGCACAAAGTCCAAAATATAGCTTACACCACATACATACGCAGATCAACACATGCATTGTCATTTCAAACAGTCAGCAGCAGTAGTAAATCTGTAACTGTTATTTTTTTCGTCCTTTTTCGTTTATCAAATCGAAACTAGTGTATTTTTTTCTCCCTGTCACTACTCTGATGGAAAATTCGGTTCGTTTTCCGAATTTATCCTCGACGACTGGAAAATCAATTTCCGAAAATGGCGAAATGTATATTCGAGATATCAATGCTTGTGAAAATATGTTTTTATCTATCTATCAATTCTATTGAATTTCGTATATATTATTGCGCAGTATGGAACCATCGGATTGCTTAAATTGGTTAAGAGCAGCAAAAGGCGGGGGGGATTAGCGAGTGAGTCAAGTAGAGTCAAGTTTGATGCTGAAATGAACCACAAGATGAAAACACAAACAATTTACAAAAAGCACCAGATTATCGATGAAATTATTCGTGAAAACTATATGGAACAACTTATTGTATTAAAAACTTCCGTTTTCTGTTTTGGCCTTTTAAATCTCGCTACAATTCACTTTCGAATGCTTTCTTCCTTTTCCATTCATTTATTTTCTCTCTCTCTCTCCCTCTCTCCCCTGTTTTCATTGAATATTTTTTCTATCTTTTGGATAAAAATAAACTAACTAAGAGCAGTCAAATCCAGATATGGTTGAAAGAGTGTATGTGTGTGTGTGATTTTTTTCGCTCTTAAAAATTACCATTTTCTCTCCATTTCGTTTTATTCCGTTTCACTTGTTTTCAATACATTTTGAGATGAAGCACACCATTCGATTCATTCCACATCAACAGATTAAATGTAATGCGATCTTGGCTGAATTACCGATGCTGAATACAATGTGTGTCTGAATCGAACAAGTGTTGAAAAACGGCAACAGAAGCACAAGCATACCAAGAAGAAGATGATGAAAAAAAACTTTAATTTTCTTTATGCGCGCACGGAAGTTTGCTAATCTGCTGCTTTGAGTTTGATGCGTGAGAGCGCAAGTGATTGTGAAACTGTATGTCGGATTGCAATCGATGATGCTGACTTGCTTTGGATTTCACTCGCTTCCGTTCTTCTTTTTCTTTCACTTCTTCATTCTATGTCAACTATCATTCTGATCGACAAACCACAATCTTATTTATACGTAACTTAATATTCTAGAGTGTTACGCTGCACATCGTTTTCTTGTAAGCTTTTTTTTTGTATATAGTGAGTATATAGTTGTGAACCAGACGAACATCGCATTAGAAATCGACGTGAATATTGTTCATTCGAATAATTTTTGCGAAAATTCCATTTAATTACATTCGAAAGAAAGTGTATGCGATGAAAAACTTTGCACACACCGCACACACATACTTTTTTCCCTATTTAGTCAAATTCTCATGCAAAATTTATTAGTTCTTTGTGGCAGATATTCCATTCTTCATGGTGATTTATCTATTTGAGCGGTTGAGAAAGTTTGAAATAAGCTTTTCCAAATATACGTTACGGCAGCAGCTATATCTTCTTTCACGGTCATTAAATGTACTTATACTTATGATTTCAACTATTCACAGCCACTGCACGTTATTGCATATAATTTTGAGGCGGTCATATGCGCGCTTATACACAGCCACACAAAACCTCGCTTATAATCCTATGGTAAGAGCGATTTTCGTCTAGAATAAAACTAAATTATCACATAAACTTCATTTACGAATAGGATGTGATGGCGTCTCTTTTTTTTGTTCTATCTTTTCATTCTTTTTGTATTTAGCCGCTGCCGTTGTAGGTCGTTGTTCAAGTGTTCATTTTCAGACCTTTTGAGTTATATAGCTTTTCTTACGATTCGTGGTGCATTTAATATTTCAAGAGTGTAAGGGAACGAGAGACGCAGCAGGTGACCAAATGAAAATGAAGAGCACACGATAACGGCTTTTTGCTCAACGCGATAAAACGGCATTGCGAATTAGATGCGAACGAGCACAAGACGGCTAGCATCGGCGAGCAAACATTACCAGCTTTTATAAGTATGCTTAATACAAAAGTCTTTTAACGATTACGTAAATAAATGAACGATTAAATGAACGAGCACATCCCAGGAGTAATTCCTTAATGATCAAAATTGAAAATATTCAAATATTCGGAAAGTTCACTCACTACATATTTGTCGTTGTTTGTATCATTTTGTCGATGCAACTCAGATTTTATCAAAATTCTGCAAAAAATTTTATCAATAAATATTACATTTATTTCGAAATATCACCCAAAAAATATTGTAATTGTGTAATGAATTTTGAGTTTTTTCCGCAAATATTACGCAAATGCATTCCATGTGATCTTTTCCCCTAGAATAAAACAACAACAAAAATTTCGAGCCCCTAAACTTACGAACGAAGAAATAGCATCATCAGCAACAAAAGTGGAATGGAATGCGCGATTAAACATCCATTCATAACTATTTCAGTATGCACAATATGCCCGAAAGCATCCTCGTAATTTCTCATTGTGTCATATTACACCGATTCTCTCTTTCATAAATAGAATCAATCAATGTAATCCAGTAAGATTAAGAATTTCCGATTTGCTTTCCGTTAAGCTCTTGGCAGCTCATTATATTTTCTCTGTGACGGTCTTCTAGCAAACATTCTAGCGTTTGATTCACCTCAGCTCAATGTGTGTTTGTGAAAATGTGATGAAATGTGCGACCACGCGCACTCGTATTATCTATTCTCTTACTGGTATTTTTGCACCTTTCAACTTGATTTTGTGTATGCACAACGAGATAAAATGGCAGTGTATGCGCGTTCGCTCATCGCTCAAAATCTAATTCATATCACTTCCATGCGAGAGCATGCTCTTACACTCAACCATCAACCATTTCAGCTTTCATGATCTCATGAAATTTAAACGAAAAACGTCATTTTCTCATCTGAAGTTTTTAAATTTCCTTAAGCACAAATTATGCGCTTCATGGCTCTGCTGCCTTTGACAAATCTTTTTTTATTTTCTTTGTTCCACATTTTTTTTTAAAGTTGAATTTGTGAAAAATTTTTATCTACCCCAACCTCTTGATAGGCACATGTATTGATTTATTCGGGGATCTGTGAAATGAGTTCGGCTCGAAAGTGATTTGTGACACAATTTAGCAGCAAATGATGATTTTCACTTCATGCATACTAACGCGAATTTTTTCCCAAGCATTTGAATATCGGTGGAGTCAAACGAAAGAGAGAGAGAGAGAGAGAGAGAGAGAGAGAGAGAGAGAGAGGAAGATAAAAAGAGAAGGCGAGAGAGAGGCAAATGCGAGCGTAAAAACAATCTAATAACTTAAGTAAAGATAAAATGCAGCATGAAAGCGAAGAGAAAACACGGAAGCGTGTCAACCACAAAATTGTTGAGCAAGCGAGCGAGTTGTATGATGAGAAAGAAAACATTGCATAAAATGGAGTGAAAACCTCTCATACAACGCTACAGTATCCAGCTCCCAGCTCCTAAGGCTATGGGAAAAATCAAACAACGTGTCTATTTCATAAATTTTGCGTTTATTACATTTACTCATACACATAACTGCTATTTATGACAAAATGATAGCTACGCAGCATGCATATTTGAACGCAATCAGCGTACACACTCATTCAAGCTGATGTGTGTGTGTGTGAGTGTTTTCTTTTTTCTGGTTTAGACCGTCGAGAGACTGACTGTTTAACTGACTAGGGTTGTATTGTTTGGAACTGACAAATATCACAACCGCTTCATAGGAGATGTGCACGGCAATGATTTTATATAGCTGGATAGCATCTATCTCAACGGCATTCGTTAAGCAATTTGACTTTTATCGACGGCGCGCTTTTTTGTCATGTCATCTCCCTACTCTCTCTCTCTCTATCGCACGTCGAAAAGTTTTTTTTTTTATATTTATTTAAATGCGCCATGAAAACATAATTCTCATTCAAATTTAATGAGATTCAGAGCTTTTGTACAGTAGATATAATTCATACAATAAATATACACTTTAAGATATATACATTAAAGCACGCGTGCTTGTTGTTTGCTATTCATAAGCGAAAGTCATTAAATTATTGTTATTAACTCATCTTTGGTGCATTTGTGTAACAAATGTGTTTTAACGATTCAAAAACTGTTTGTTTATGACGGCTATATAAAAATACAGTAGCACATCATTAAATGGATGCCAATCTC